TTAGTTTGGTCTCAAAACTCAAAATGGTAAAATTGATATTATTAACAGCATTTCGAAAACAAGAATTTTATTTCATTGCAATACTTCGTCTGATTAAATTAATTTCCCTGATATAATGCCCACCGTCTGTTAAAAAAATTCCAATGAAATTATTGAGTTCCTAACTGGTTCTTAGCATAACAGGCTAACAGCCCAAAACTAGTTCAGTCATCCTAGAGCCTTCTTAATAACAACTTGTTTCTAGATCGAAATGGTGTGCAAGAATCATGCATAGTTTATAATTGTTCTCGATGAAAATCCAATTTTGTTTTTGTTGCATTCTAACTTGTCAAATATTTCATTAATTTTTACTGTTTTATATGCACCTAAAGCCATGTGAGATAGGAGAACATAAGATTTTTTATATATATACTTCGAATCAAGTGTGACCATTGCAAATATGGGACTTCTTTTTTTTCTTAGGTTTCAATCCAATCCAAGGTTAAGATTTTGGAGGCTTGAAGCATAAAGTAGAAAACCATTTTTTTGCCTCTAACATGACGAAAAGCAAACTTAGAAGTATTTCTTTTATTTTTTTTAAGGGTTGCAAAGGTTGAGAGATATATGCGAGTCTATCTCATGCTCATACTTTTTAGCGCCAAGTACTACAGGAACCACTTACCTTTTTTCTTTAATATGCTCCAACCCTCTCTTGTCTATCACCTTGTACAAAGTGTCAAGGGTTCTAGCATGCCCTGCACAAGGATGAACAACACTTCACTTCAAACTTGAATTCTAGGTAGGGAGGCAGTCAGTACAGGCTACATTCAAAACTGAACTATACCTTCTTCACATGCTATATGACATTATTTCTCTTTCTCTGAAAAGGTAAAGATCAATACGGACTTTATATTAGATGTTTGTAACATGTACCCAGTGGCACATCGTTTTTCTTTTGTATCGATCGGAGTCCTAGTCTAGACATTGTTTGGTACAATGGCTATACCTAGGCTGAGTTCAGTACCCATGGTTCCCAACTCACTCCCCTTTTTTTCCACATGCACGCTTTTCAAACTATTAAACGGTGTGTTTTTAAAAAAAATGTATACGAAAGTTTCTTAAAAAATCATATTGATCCATTTTTGAAAAAAATAGGTAATACTTAATTAATCACGCGCTAATAGACCGTTCTGTTTTTCGTGCAGAAGTGATTAGTTGCCAACCTTGGCTGCCGAACGCAGCCCTAGACGCTCTCAGTGGCATCCTCCTCAATTTCATAACAACCAGAATAGATTTATTAGTTAATTAATTCATGCGCAATTAATTATTATCTACACTCCTTTAAAAAAACCCAATGGTTGTGGTGAGTGGTGAATGTGCCACCACCCACCACCACTGTCATGGAGAAATTTGGGATTACACCATCGCAAAAAAAGTGGTTTCGCTAGAATGTCATCGCTTCAAACTGATTCATTACAATGCCATCCTAAACTGAGGGTGTTGACCAAAATGCCATTTTTATTCTTTTTGGTTAATACAAATGTTTTTGCTCTATTTTAGTTTTTTTCTCTAGACCAAAATACCCCTTCCCCTCTCTTTCTTATCCTTTTTCCCACGCCCAGCAAATCACTTCTCCAAATTGCGCACCAGTTCCGGGAGGCACGACCCCGTCGTCAGCTCCGGCGCCGACCCCTGCCCCTCCCCCACCTGCTCTGCCTCCCCTCCCTCCTCCCCCGCCTCCGCCTTCCCTCACTCCACTCACGCTGCTGCCATCCATCTATTCATGCCGCCGCTGCCCACTCAACCCTTCCTTTGCACAGGTGCCGGCCGTGGCACTGGCACCGACCCTCATCCACCTAATCTGCCTCCACTTCTACCTACCACGTCACCGCCATCCCTCAATTCATGCCGCTGCCATCCCTTCATTCGTGTCACCGCTGCTGATGTGACCATGGCTACTATGGATACAATCGTTGCTCACATCATGGATGAACAAGAAGATATCAAAATCAAGTCCTCCAAGTGCTGGAATCCGATTCGGCAACCTGCTACACTGCTGACTTCAAATGGCCGCCAAATCTGTATACGACCTTTGTTTTCAACCCGTGAGTACTTGATAGAAAGCTCTCAGAGTCCTCTTTCCAAGGGATCCAGCCTCATCTCCGAATTCCATATCGTTTGGCTGCAATCATAGAAACAAGATGTTGCGTCACCTATAATCGGCCTATGGGCCTAAAACTTCGTTTGGGACCCCGGCCCAAGTGGGGCCCATGTGGGGTGTGCCCCAAACAGGTGGAGCACGACCCTAGAGATCCCTAGGTCGTCCTCCCACCTCCTTAAATAATTAGGTACACCTTCAGGGTTTCTCGGGTTCTATTAGATTAAAGTTTAGCCATTGCTATTTGCTTGCAGTGCGCGTGTCAGCTAGACCGCCCGTCTGCTTGTTCTTCGGAACCCCAACTTATCATTTGTATTGAATTCCTATTTGCAATTCAGATTACTTTTATCTTATTCTTGCTTGTTTCTTCGATTTGCTTGCAGGAATAAGGTTGATTTGCATTGGGAAGATCAACAACCCACGGAGAGGTGCATCGATCGCTAAGACGCAACACAACAACGTCTAGTACGGTTGTAATCGGATCATCAACGTTTCTTCTAAATCGTAGTTATCTCAACTCACCGAAAGATCGGACAAAACAACAACCTTGAGCGTATCGAGTGAAACTCAGGGTTTATCAGGTGCCCACTCAACCCAAACGGCGACAATCTGTGTCGACATCTGCGGATGCAATGGAGCTGGCAAATAGTGGTACCCCAGGCCCCAGGTTAGCATCCCCCATTCATCTATAACCGACCTCAGTGCCCATTTGGCACTCACTGAATTTGTTTGTGTGGTTAGGGTTTGGCTCCATGGATGACTCCACTTGGCTAGATTTTGTTGGAAGGTATGCACTTCTCTCTCTCTCTCTCTCTCTCTCTCTCTCTCATGTCATGGGAGTAAGGGATATACAGATCTGACTATTTGCAATCATTTGTTTTGTTTTCTCTAGGCTCGAGGAGCCTGAGAGTCGTTTAGTAGTTGTACAATCCCCTGTTTATGAACCTGCTAGGGGTAGTAGTTCTCCTCCTACTCAAGGAGGATAACTACACCCAGAACCACAACCACAACCACAACCACCGATTGTTGATTGGGAAAACCTACATATCGATGAATCACTAGATGTCGTAGGAAGATTAAAAATCGTGGATGGGGACCTGTTGCACGTGATTTTTGGGTTTGAGGGATGAGGATGAAGCCGCCGAGTATGCACGAGCGGTGGCTCAGGCTACAACTGAAAATGATGATCAGGCTAGAGGTACCGATGCCAATGGTGCTAAAAATGCTAATGATGATGAAAATGAGGGTGTGGTTGATACTCCAAGGTTGCGGGAGAAAGGATGATGGTGTATGACGTGAATAACTCATCCTTGGTGAAAGGTACTATGTATCCCAACATGAAGGTCTTTACGTTGGCGGTTAGACAGTTTGCCATCAATGGGGAGTTCAAACTTTGGGTAAAGGCGAGAGATCGTACTAGATTTGTAGGAGGATGCAAAGGGGCAATTGATTGTCCTTGGCATGTTAATGGGCGTAAACAGGCTGACGAGTGGACCACAATGGTACTTTTTAGCGGATGTCATTAATATTTTTGTTTGTATGTTATTTAAAAAAAATTTCTCTAATGCCATGTTTTATTTGATTTGTTTTTGCAAGTAACAAAGTTTATTAACAACCACACGTGTACATCTGGCGGCAGAAGGAAGACTACCACACCAACCAGCGACTAGGTTGCTTCCAAGGCCATGCATATCCTTAGGAAGGATTCAAGTATGGGCCCTGAAGAACTGCAAACCAAGTTGGAAGAGGATCAGAAATACAAAATCAATTATGATACTGTGGCTAAGGGTGGGACTTTGGCTATGATCTAGTTGCATGGCAGTTGGGAAGATAATTTCCATTTGTTGTATAGGTGGAGGGTTGCAATCATGGAGAGGTCTCCTGGTAGTGTTATTGAAATTGACACAAAGGAAGTTGATGGGAATGTTTATTTTCACAGATTCTTTTGTGCATGCATTATTGGACTTCTAATTGGATGTAGGCCATACCTCAGTATAGACTCAACTGCCCTAATGGTTTCATTGATGCTTTTGGTTTCATTGATGCTGAAACTAGTGATAACTGGACCTGGTTTATAAATCAATTGCATAAAACTACAGGAAATGTATCTCCTCTTGCAATTTGTACTAATGCATGCAAAGGCTTAGAACATGCAGTGCACCGAGTTTTCCATTGGGCTGAACATAGAGATTTGTTGTTCTATTTTCGAAGATAAATCAATGTACGCAAAATGAAACATATGATGCATGAGAAATCCAAAAACAAAGGTTTCACCACAATAAATATAAATTGGAAATTTTGATTACTCTAATTTGCCATGATTTTACAAATTCAGGTTTGTTACAATTTTGGATGCAAGAATTTTGTTTGATTGCAACACCTCCGCTGGTTAAATTATTTCTTACGATTTAATAATGCCCATTGCCTTTTAAAAAAACATTTCTTAAAAGAAAATTCCAATAATATTATTATATTCCTAACCTGTTCTTTGTTAGATTTTTTTTTCCTCTCAGAATTGAATTTAACCATTGCAAACATAGGTCTTTTTTTTGTTAGGTTTGGAACAAAACTAAGGTTTAGTGTTAGAGCGTTAGAAAAAAAAATTGGCTCTAGCATATATGATGAAAAACTAACTCAAAAATAGTTTTTTTATTTTAACGGATGCTAAGATTGCCTATATTTTTTAGCGCAAGGACACTCATGTCCTGAGGCACAAGCCAGAAGAAGTAACTCAAATATTCAAATCATGGGATAGGCTGACAAACAACTCATAGATAATGTATCGAGAGAGCCTCTTGCATGTTTTGCCTTCTCACCTTCACCTTGTATAAAGTGCCAAGAGTTGTAGCATACACTACAAAAAGACAAAAACGACACGTAGCCAATGCATGCTACAAAACTAACAAATATTTGTTCACAGGCTACGTAGCCCTATCCTGTCAAAAAAGGTAGACTAACAGAGATTATATGTTCAATTTGGTGATCAACATTACACAAATACCATATTTATAGGCCAAATGGAGAACAGAGCTCTTGCACAATCTTCCAGATAGCGGATGCACAATGGTATTGTCCAATAAATACGATAGCGCATGCACAGGGGTATTGTGCTTCTATCCAATAGATACACGGGCACACAAAAATGGAAAGAAAGTAAAATTCCGTGTGCCACCAACTCAGATGTTTACATCAGCCTGATCATGCATGGTCAGGCTTTAAACATCACAGTACTGGGCATGCAAAACTACATATCGCTTGTGTACAGATTCACCTTCATAAGGCATATTTTCCATGTTGCAGGAGAAAAAAATTGAGACTGAAGCTTTAGTTGTGCTCCCAGTAGCCCATTATGACCTTTAATCATAGCTGTTTATTAGTTTACCAGCTAGACTGCTCCAAAACTCATACCACTGTGAAGCACGATAATATTGTGGTATGTGTATTCAAGAAAACTTTGGTTCGAGGAAGACTATTTTGATCGCAGACCTGGGATATTGTTCAGTCCCATCTTTCTAAGGACAAGCTTAGGCACCGCAGGAGGGTTATTCAAGCCCAGACTTCTGCTGAATTCATTGGCAAGTGATACAAGCTGGTATTTGTCACGCCCAATGAACTTGTTAGAATTATAGTAACCGAGCCATGCTTGGTAGGCAAGTTCCTTATCCTTAACCTCCACATGTGCAAGAGCCTTTTCAACCTACAAACAATAAGAAAATGCAATACTGAGCATTATGCCAAATACCAACAACTAGGATATCATTCTTAGTATTTTGAACGGGAAATGGCATACAAAGTATAACAGTCAGTGCATGATGAAGCTAAGCAAGAACAATCACCAGACATAGGACAATACACACATCATTAACTCAGTAAACCTACAGCCAACCCGCATGGGGTCACATTTGATATTGCGGTTGCTTTTTCAAATCACATTCATTTCGCTATTCTTGAATTTGGATACAATAATCAATTATCAGCCTTAGTTTTAGGTGCAAAACAGTTCTTTTTAGTATAATTGTTACTCCCTCCCAAATTATAAGGCCCATATTTTTTTTACACGGTCTTCCATAACATACTTTGACCAGTATTTTATTTTATTCTATGATCCCAACAAATATGAAATTAGCATCACATGAAAGTACTTCAAAATATGAATCTAGTGATATAACATGCATCATACTTAGTATAGATATAGTTAGTATGATTATTAGTCAAAAACTACCGAGTTTAATTTTCCTTAAAAAGTGGGCGCCCTATAATTTGGGACGGAGGGAGTATTTGGTATGACTCCCTTCACTAGCTCCACAGCCCGATGCAACAATCGCAAATGAGCCCTCAGTCAATTATCATGTTTTGTTGTTAAAAAATATCTTTGGTCAAAGAACCACTGACAAACACATATCATTACAGAAGCATAGCCTTTTGATGGTTAAACAACAATACGTACAAAAGAATTATCCCACAATATAGAATATCATGCCTTGCTCAGTGATTTTTTTTTACTTCTTTTTTTCTGCAATTATAAGAACACATACATGCACAAAGACCCGTGAGTATGCCCCTTGAACACAAGCTCAAACAGATGAAGGGTAGACCAGGGATAAATTCATGAGCCTCACAAAATTCCTACTAAAGTCCACCTGCGGGTGTGTAAACATGGGGTTTGAATCCTGGTGATGCTTCCCAGCAAAAACTGGCTTTATCATCACCATCTATTACTGGAAACAGAATCAAGCACACATATATGTACCACTCACTAACTATGCCTTGTAAACCAAAAAAAAATCAGAATTGCAGTTGATATATTTGTGTCAAACAATATCCCTTCTAACATGAACAGAAGAGCATTAAGAGGAAATTTGCATAGTTTGGCTGGCCTATTAAGCAAATATTACTGCAAGTAGCAACATTGTAAGACTCAGATCATCTGAAGGGCATAAATGCATACAACGAAGCCATGGTGTCAAGCTCAATTTCACCATGAAATCCAAACACTAGTCATGCATAATAGTGACAATACCAAAATTCTAACTGGTGGAATAGCATATTTGGAAGTATTTTCTCTTCATGATGCAGATTTTATATGCTAGGTAAACAAGTGCTGATGAACCAGCATTTAAAAAATAGTGTGAACCAACCAATTTGCACAATCTACAAGTCAACACACCTCAAGATTGGGGCGGACATTGCATCTGTGGTTTGTGGATTTTAAATACTTATTTGAATGGAAATTAGTTAGATAGTCGAAAGAAGAGAATATCCAGACATCAATTAGAACCAACTGCCCAATTCTCAGGCATGACGAAATTCAGAATTTTAACAAAAAAGTTTTCAAATAGTAACAATATGATCGTTACTATTGCATGTACGCTTGATTACCTTAAACAGGCACCAACTATCATATCTGAACTAGTAAATAAGCTTAATTACCTTTCTTTTAGTGTCCAGATCAATTAAAGGTAATGTTGCCTCTGTAATAGGCAGATCTTTGATACTTCTCAAGAAGTATTCTTCCCACGGTGCCAATAATAAGATTCCACTCCCCTCGTTTCCTCTGCGGCCAGTTCTACCAAGTCGATGAATATATTGTTCTCTGTCAGTAGGCACTCCCATCTGCAATAACGACGATAATCAGCTGACATTGGTATATAAGCAGGATATGATAAAAGAAAAGAATATGCACATGCTCGTATTTGTTTCAACAAAACGTTTACAAGCGGAATATAGAAAAAGAAAATCTTCCAGTGCTGGACGATCTGGAGTTTTTACATATTTGTATATCAAATAGCAAAGAAGATAGGCAACAACAAATAAACAGCTCAATAACTACCATAAAGAAGTTCGTTACCTGGACGACTAGTGTGACATTGGGATAATCAACGCCCCTAGCAGATACATCGGAGCTAACAAGAATAAGACCTTTTGATTCCTTAAATTCTTTGGATATTCTGGTTCTGTAACTTTGTGGCTTTCTGGAGTGAATCTCGCGTACATTCAACTTCAATTCAGACAGAAGTTCAGCAACAAGACTTGTTACCTTTGCAGTTGTACAAAACACGATCACCTGCATTTTTCTCATTGTAAGTACGCATATTTACAGGAGACACTTAAAATATGCCAATTCACTTACCTTGTAGTCAACATTTTCTGAAATATGATCAGTTAGAAGACCATACAGGATAGAAAACTGTTTGTCTAGTGGTGCAACTACATGCATTTGCTTCACCTGAATATGGTAACAAAAGATTGCTCAAAAACATGGTAACAAAAGGTAACATGTCTGATCAAAATTTATAGAAACTTGGAATCTGGAAAAACAGTCAGCATGCATATGCTTTAAAAAATACCTGTGAGTGTGTTTCCTCACTTCCTTCTTCAACGGTGTTCACAAATTCAAGATCTCTTTTCATGGCAATGTGGCATACTTGGCGTACCTAGAAAAGAGAGTAGAAATTGATTATATTTCGACCAAACAGAAGTGTTGACCTATAGCAGTGGCAATACCTCATCAGGAACAGTTGCAGAAAATAGAAGTGTTTGACGCTGCTTTGGGAGTGCAGCCACTATTCTCTCGATATCAGTCCGGAATCCCATATCTAATAAGCGATCCGCTTCATCAAGAATAAGGACTTTGACACCCATCAATCTAGTAGCAAACCCTGGAGTGTTCTCCATATGATCCTTAAGCCTTCCTGGTGTAGCTACTAGAATCTGCACATCAGCAGCATTTTTACATCACACAATCCAAATGTAGAAATATCCAGGATAATTCAGTAAGTTACTTCCAATCACCTGGCAAGGGTTAGTATGCATTCGCTTCTGCTCTAGAGCCATTCTAGTGCCACCTATTACAAGTTGCACTCCAATTGATGGATGAAATTTCAGGAGCTTGTTAGCTTCTGCAGCAGCCTGATCAGCCAGCTCACGTGTAGGGCACACAACAACAACACTGATGGGAGGCCTTTTTTTATCACAATCAATAGGGGGCAATTTGGAGACAACTTCAATGGCAGGAAGCTACACATACAACATTCACAAATACAAATTACCATTTTGCAGGTTCAGACTTTAGAACAACAAAAGAGCAAGAAAAATTCAGTAGTCAAGCAGGGTAGTTACCAAGAATGCTACAGTTTTTCCAGTCCCAGTTTTTGCTTTTGCAAGAACATCCTTACCTATATATATAAGGCTTGTTAGTACATGGTATGGGCTAGAAAAGTTGCAATTCAAGCTGCAATCATGAGAAATATCTTAGAAAATATGAACAGTTTATATTACATGATTTTCCACTTTGTTGTTTGGCTATTTAGAGGAACTACTGGTTTCAAATTAGAACAGCTCAAGTTGCGCAATGTTTTTCTTGTACCTTAGGATCAAGACGATTGCATCTTTGCTTATTTCACCATATGTCCAGAGTTTAATACTAAGAAATAAACAGCCAAACTTTGAGCTGCTGCCAATTACATCCTCACATTTTAAAGTAACCATTTACTGGGTCAATTATTGTATGAAACACAATAGGAGTTGTAGTGATGAGTTTTGTTATGTCATAGAAGAAGAGGATTTACACGAGGCTAATCGAGAACTTTATTTCGAACCCCAACTCACCAAATTTATTTCTTCAAACCCATTGGTAACTCACACCAAATCAATTCCTGGACCTGGCAATATGACTTTTTAGGGTTTAAGTGGTACCAAGGTTTACAGACCATATGCTCAGTTTCCTCAATAAAAAAAACTTAACTCTTCCATTTTTTAACACCTACCAAACTACATCAATCAAGATTATCTATTACCAAGGAGACTCATAAACTGCGTTAGAAATTAAGGGATCTACGTAAATTACATGATTCACACTAGTAGGAGCCAATCAAAAGCTCATAATTACTTATTTAGTTCCATGCACCAACCAGTTCACCCAAAAAATCATATCAATGACCAAAGGTAGGCAAAATTCTTCCCTAATGTATAGGCCCCACCACCAAGCATACAAATAGAAAATGCAGATTCAAAGTGGGCCACAATTGTTGTTTCTTAACTTGCTTTAGCCAGGTCCCAAACTAAAGGCACCTTGGCTGTGGTACCTTAAGAGTTTCATGCATTATTTAGTTCCCCCAAAAAAAAAAAAACTTAATCTGATAAATGGTTGTAATAATTCAAGTCCTCAACACTATTAGCATGGAAGCACTAAAGACCATATTGCAATAATGCAATTCAATCCACCTTTGTTAGTATAATCACATTTGTCAAGCATTTGCAAAGGTTGTTCAGAAAGAAACTATGTTGACAATACAATACCCTGCATGAATTGGATTTCAACAGCTCGATCACTGCAGTTTCATTTTTCATCAATGGCCTATTTGGGGTGCAGTACAGGATGCTGAACAGTTTACTATGAAATTCCTACAAGATTCTTCATTTGCAAATGGGGCCTACATGGCTACACCTCTTCCAACAACTTTGAAATTAAATCTATTGGTTATGCATTTCTTTTTTGCTTAGAGATAGACACAATGTAGCAGTGGTTTCCTTTTCTATGCCAGCTCAGTAGGTCAAGTTTGTGTGATCTGCTTGTGTGGTACTGTGGTGCAAATGCACAGGATGGGAACTAATACGTTGTCTTCACACATGATGTTTGTAAATTAACAAACATAAACATGAATTTGAAGTTCAATAAATATGTGAAGATAGCAGATTCGAAATTAAAAATGTGAAGGAAGTTAGTGAATACGAGTCTGATAGATTTATAAACTCTTGAGACAAGTTTGCAAAAGAAAATGTGAAATACTATAGATAAAACTACAATGTTGAGCACATAACAAAGAAGAACTACTAAGATCAACCTTTAAGTATAATAGGAAGAGTGGCCTCCTGCACTGCAGTCATCCGTTCATACCCAGCAGCTTTAACACCTTTTAGTGTCAAGGGAGACAGGGAGCATTCATCAAACCTATCATGTAAAATGTGAGAACATCCAAAAGGACCAACATTAATACGTGCATAATCATCAGTTGTACCCAGTGTTTCAAATTTTCAGTACATGCTTGCAACTATTCAGAGAAATAGCAGATGATCTATGCACAATGCCAATCATAGATCATAGCCATATTATTCACAAATACACTGAGACAAGCATAGCAATAACTTACTTTGGATTCAATAATTTATAACATTTTTCATCAAGTAGGACATCAAACTGTGGAAGCATCAATTTGCGTTAAGGAAAAGCTGCAGACTGTAGCAGCCCCAGTAACAAGGATCGGACAAATTAGAAATGCATAATTTGTTGCTTCATCAAATAAGTGGCAATCCACTAATGATGTAAGCTTTTAGCCCAACCATAAAAACCTAGATGATTATAGACTACTGATCTACTCCTTCCGAACTAGAAAGGTTGCTATATTTTGGGATGGAGATAGTAAGTTTTTTTCAGAGCTGAATCAAAGAAAACAGGCAACATTGCATCAGAAAACATTTAAAGGTGGAGCTACCTCGTCTGGCTCAAATACGAATCGCCACCTCCACTCTCTCTGGTGTGCACAACACCCTCCTGATCAATTGGCTCTCCTTTAATTGACTCAAAAGGAGCTGAATTTTTAGCTGGACTCTCCACCAGATTCTTCTCACCACCCTCGTCATCAAAGAGATCATCCTCGAAGCCTGATGGACCATCATCCTCATCAACTTCCCCCAGCTCACTGTCATCTTCTGACAAGCCAAAATCAAACATTTTACCACCCCTCGACCGCCTATCGCTAAAATCTGCATCGCCCCCTCTCCCACCTCTCTGTGGTCCCAAACTTCCCACATTCCTGCCTCTCGTGCCATGGTCGCGCCTTCTGCCTCTAGAGTCAATAGAATCGTTTTCATCATCCTCACTGTCATCTAAATCACTTCCCCTCCCACCTTTCCGTGACACACCAGACATCCTTCCACCACGACCACGTCTTCCCCTTGGAGACGAACCTCTTGAGTATTCATCATCCTCACTGTCATCTAAATCACTTCCCCTCCCACCTCTCCGCGATACACCAGACATCCTTCCACCGCGACCGCGTCTTCCCCTCAGAGACCCAAACCCACCTTCATCATCATCCAAATCACTGTACCTCCCGCCCTGGCCGCGCTGTCCCTTTGGAGATTGAAACCCAGGCTCATCATCAAAATCATATCCCCTCCGCGACACATTTGCCAACCTCCCACCTCGGCCGCGCTGCCCCCTTGTAGACCGAAACCCACCACCATCATCATCAAAATCGTTTGCCCTCCTCCCTCCATACGAAAATTCTGACTGTCTCCCTCCCCGATCATTTCCCCTCCTTCCTCTATGTGAAAATTCTGACTGTCTCCCTCCCCGATCCCGCCTTCCCCTCGCGGAACCAAACCCGACCTCATCCTCATCATCATCGTCGTCACCCAGCTCATTATTACTCACCATCCTCCCCCTCCTCTCAAACCCACGCCTATCGCCGCCGAAATCACCGCCACCGAATCTCGACCTCGGCGGCGGGCCCCTCGAGTCCCGCCCCCTCCGGCCTCCCCTCGAGGCAGCCGGCCCGCGCGTGGAGGCCTCGCCTTCGTCGCCGCTGCTGAGGCCGAGGTGGAACGAGTCGGTCTTGAGGTCGCTGATCCAGTCGCTGAGCTCGGCCTCGTCCTCGATCAGGCTCTTCGCGGCAGCTCCGGCGCCGGGGCCGGCGCGCGAGGAGAAGAAGCGGGGGCCAGCGGCGGCGGCGCCATTCCGCAGCGGGTCCTGGAGGAGGCCGGGGAGTGGTGGGCCCGCGCGGCGGGAGGCGGGCGTCGGCGAGGCCGTGGCGCGGCGGAGGAGGCCGAGGAGGTGGTGGTGGCGCCGCATGGCGGCGGCGGAGGATGGACGGTGGGCTGGGTTTAGGGTTTAACACAGGACAGCGGGCTGAGGAATTGGGGGTTTTTGAGAGGAAATGGGGAGAGCTTGTGAGCCGTCCGATTTGATAGATCTATCAATTTCAGATCTAGCAACCGTCCGATTGTGAGCCGCGACGGTTCAGAATTTCAGATCTAGTACTGTATCAAATTATCCAAGTCACTTCACTTCAGGTTTAAAGATCGTTTCTTTTCAGATTTAGTACTCGACTCTTCAGATTTGATCGTTTCTTTTTTAAAGATTTTATTTGAAATTTTTGTAAATTCTAGTTATACACTATTTAGGTTTATCGCGAGATACATGCAAAGTCCGATCGGCGCTATCTAGTTGACGTGGCACATATTTACATGCGGAGGTCAACACCAACCAATTAACAATTGAATCCTTATTACACTAGTCTATTTTCTTTTGGGTATGGAATCTTTGGCGATAAATATTCTTTAAACCTTGTATTATTTTTAAGATCCATTTGAACCATCGTACTCCACACAAAATATGTAACAGAACGAGTCCAATATTGATTGTATTCAAACATTCAAAAGTAATTTACTTAAATTGTGGAAATAATTAGGTTTTATAATGGAAGTAACTCTGCATAGCATTGAAAGTAAATGTAGTGGATGGTGTTGAAATAAGGCATTATGCAAAGTAAAATGTAGAGAAGATTCACGAGTAAATACAATTTAATTTGTTATTTTAATGTATCACTATGTCTTTTTTTAGAAAAGCAAATTTATCTTCATATATGAAGTAATTATAAGAGAATATAGAAGTTATTATAAGTAAGTAGTACACTACTAGGGAAAAGTAGCTCTAGAAAATATTACTTCCTCCGTTTAATATTATAAGACTTTCTAGCATTACCCACATTCATATAGATGTTAATGAATCTGTGTGCCTAGATTCATTAACATCTATATGAATATGGACAATACTAGAAATTCTTATAACCTAAAACGGAGGTAGTAATATTTTCTTAGAGTTAGGACTAAACATTCGACAAAATACCTACACTGCAAGATAATTTTAAAATAAGAAACAATTTTCCCAAAAAAATAAGAAAAAATAGAAGTAATTATGATTTATGATAATTACTTTAAGCTTTATTGAATTTATTTTCATAATAACTAATTATTAAATAAATCAAATTTGAAAGTAATTTATATATCTAATTAAAGTAATTTTTATCAGAATATAATCATGTAAAATCTTGTTATAAAGATTGAATTACAACAAATTACAACGAATATAATAGTATAATTCGGTTGTAGGTCGGATAAGTAATTCAAAAGTAAATTTTAGGAATATATTTTCCATGCATACTCCCACGTGGGAAAGAGATGCATGCTATTTTTATGGTAGGTTAGAATGGCAGCCAGTTAAGAATAACTAGTACACATGCACTTTCACGTCCTTGGATTTTATGTAAGTCTGTGGTTTGGCAGTATTTTACATGAACTTCCAGCCAGTCATAGGAATTGACAATTGGCATAGAAATTTTGGAGAATTCAACTATGTACAAAGTTTTTTCTTATTGGCCCCTTTGATTCACGCCACACGTGGTAGCAATGTATTCCTTAATTTCATTAAAGAGATAAGTGAAATGAACAATTTGGTAAAACAGCATAAACCATTTCAATGGTCACTAGTTTTGAGATTTGACCCATTTATTTTGACGTGGATTTACGGTAGACCATATCAGCCAGGTAGTACTCATCCAACGTGGCTATGAAGTGAGTTTACCTCGAGCTCTCTCTCAGACTAGTTTGAAGTGAGAGAAGACGATTGTGAACAATGAAAGGGCTAAGCACGGAAGCAATCAACAACGGTGTCGACATGTAAAGAAATGGGCCGAATAACCTTCGGTACCTGTTTACAACCATATCCATGGGAATCATTTTGGTCATGTGCATTGTCATATCCTTGATGGAAGGTTAAGAAATAATTGAGTTCTTAATGCAACATATGAATTTGGTATAAGCTTCCAACGGTTACAGCTTGTGGCAACCGCCGGGATTTGGAAACAAAATAACTGAAGTAGTAGTATATATATAGGCACAGAAATATATCATAAGCCTCCCCAAAATTTACAGCGCCGATTAAAACAAACATCAGCCGTTTATAGCTCGTGAAAGATGCAATTTAAACAGGCACGTCACATGTAAAGGCTTTATACATAATAATAAGAAAAAAAGAGTTAATCAATCTAATAATTCGTGCTTGCTGAAAATTCTTGTAGAACTGAGGATCTGGGGGAGCAACTCTCGTTAGAAGATATCTGATGGCAAACTTTGTTAACATCACTTGCTGTTGGTTGATTTTCCATGGTGAAACTGCAGCACAATGCATGTGACATTATCTAAGGTAAGCCGAGAGCGGGCGACTTCCGTGAGCTTCATGGCTGCCGCTTTAGGACCATCTTGTGCTTTCAAAAGAGAAACAGCGTCCTTGTTGACAAAAGATGTAAACGCTAGTTAGCATTGGACCAAATGAGATACAACCAATATGCGAGCTTTCGTGAACTGTGTGTGCGTGCGTGCACTCACCCGGGCAGGTGGGCGTGTGAGAGTGAACATAGTGAATGGAAATTCTTTCTTTTTATGTAAGTGCAAATATTCATATGGCTCTAGTAGAGAGCACAATAGTATTACTTAAGTGATGTCGTATTCTTTGTCGCATAATCAACAATTACGATTCAACAGGTGATACCTCATTTCGCATGACATCCCAAAGCCCATCAGTAGCAAGAACCAGGTATTCCAAGCCTTCATCGACCACTTTTTCCTGCATATTCATAGTAGAATATCACAAAAGATTCATAAACAATGTTCAACAGGCTTTTCCATGAACAAGTTTTGTGGCTCATAAGAAATCAGTACTGTGAACAACTTTTCAGAAGGGTAAAATCATATGCAAGGGAGAAACACATAGCATGTGAATTTTAAATGCTGGATTACATAAGTTTTCAGGAGTCTCATAGGTTACAACATGTTACTAATTTTTAACTGTTTGATTCAGCGATCAGTGGTCCAGATCACAGGTGTGATTAAAGTGATTAATCAGGGAAGTCAACATTTCGCACATAGACTGCATTTGCAGGCTGTTAAGCACTGCAGCAGACCCATTTCATCCAGGTTGATGATATCTATACTGGCTATTTCATGATCCCAAGTGCATAAGAAACGGTGGGTAAGACAAAACCAATACAAAACTGAAGTACTGAACTATTAACATGTAAGGGGCAGGGAACCTCTGCAAACTGAACTTCAATAAGATACCTGAATGTTTGGTTCTGCTTTAACATAGCGCTTCATTAAACGATTGCCAAATGCACGGGACACTGCCAGAATTCCATCAACCCTCCATATATCTGTTGTGACATGATCAAACTTTTCAGGTTTTCATTCTTACTCGTATTCGATTAAATTAAAGCTGGCTAAATACATTAGGAGTATTCTGATAGTTAAAAGTGCTTACCATCTGAAACAACAATGCCTCCAGCATCCTCAATTCTCTTTCGCTCATCTTTTTTGTTAGGTTTGTGATCTTCAGACAGTGGGACAGCTAAAAAGCATGGAAATAAACAAGATTGAAATGTAAGAACAAAAAAGAGAATTCCACAGTATCTAGAGTATTTGGAACGTGCCAATTTCTGAAAATGGTATAGAAACATATCAAAATTGGTGCAATTTGATAAAAACTACTAGAGACAAGATCCTTCGCAACACAGGAAAAAAAAGAAACACTTAATTTTCAGTTGACAAAGAGGTTTCAGGGCATACTGAAAAGTAACCATTTATAGCTACAACAATATGGCAACTTGAATGGGAGTTTCTTCACTAACAAAGAAACACAACCAATAAAATATTACCTTTTCCGGCTTTTAGAGCAACGGCACGTGAATCACCAACATTAGCTACATATAGGCGGTTGCCAATCAAAATGGCAGCCACTGCTGTTGAACCATCATCCCTATAACGATCAGAAGATATCGACTGTAGGAAATCAGCGTCAGTTTTCAGAAACGTTTGGTCTGCATTTTGCAAAAGCAGTTAACGAAATGAGAACATTATTACTTTCTGGCTCTGAATCAGAACATACAGAAGAGGTACAGCCGAAATGAAGGGGAAAAAACATTACTTATAGCGAGCTTTGTGTCTTTCAGGAACTTAGGATGCTTCACGAGGTTTTTAAATAGATGTTTCTTCAGATATTCAGCAGCACGTGGTCCTCCATGACCTAATGTATGCAATCTTCAGACAAAGATATGATAGGGAACAAAATTACTAGTGCAACTTAATGAAAGAAAAGATTGAATACACTACCATCAAATACACCAAATAAGCTGACTGTTTCTCCGTTGACCGTGGTTGACTTTATGCTCAAGCGATCCTCCATAGAAGGCCTCCTCCCCTGGAAACTTGAATATCCCCAGCTCAATTTACCATCCTTACTGCCAAAAAAAAAAGTATTTGATATCATGTCCTCTCAATTCTCAAATCTCTAATAGAAGGATTATAAGTAGAGAAATTCGAAGGAATTCTGAAATTGCACAGATAAGCCAATTTCAACTGGGCAGCAGGTAAAATACACACCTACAGCCAACTCCATCGCCGTCAAATCTCGACCTCGGCGGCTGCCGCTTCGAGTTCCGCCCCCTCCGGCCTCCCCTCGAGGCAGCCGGTCCGCGTGAGGATGCCTCGCCTTCGTCGCCGATGCTGACGCCGAGGAGGAGCGAGTAGAGCTCGACCTCGTCGTCGCCCAGGCCCTTCGAAGCAGCTCCGGCGCCGCCGCGCGAGGAGAAGAAGCGGGGGGCGGAGCCGCCATTCCGCAGCGGGCCAGGGGCATGGAGACTGGGGTGTGGGCCCGCGCGGCTGGAGGCGGCGGACGTCGACGAAGCCGCGGCGCGGCGGAGGAGGCCGAGGAGGTGGTGGCGCCGCATGGCGGAGGCGGAGGCGGAGACAGCGGCCCTGGGTTTAGGTTTTTAACGATTTTTCTTTTTGCAACCGCTAAACAACTGTCGCAAAAGTTCCCTTCAAAATTTTTTTTTGGGAGTTTTAGAACTTTTTTTAAAAAAAAATTAAAAATATAACTATTATGAAACATATTTTATTGTGGACGATGTTTCCTACTGAGACAATGGACACTCTCAACGAATGGATCCTCCACGTGCTACGCTAGTCATATATCAAAGTTCTTCCGTGCGTCTTTATCATGGCGGTAGAGACTCTTTTTTGTTTTTGGTTGGACGATTCCATAAATAGAATAAAAAGATAAATAAGATCAAGTAGAACCAGTAAGTATGAGTGGAAAACTTACTATAGAAAGAAGCTTACGCCAGAAGAAACCAAAAGATATCTTATCACGGAAGGAAGCTTGCAGCGTAAGCCAGCAACTTGTAGTGGAAGCCAAAAAGTTAGCTTTTAGGAGAACCCAGCTTACACCGTAAATCATCAGCTTTCTCCGCCTATAAATAGGACCCTCAAGGTTAAGGCGAGATAGATCTCTTTGGAGCACCTCGACTCTCCTTATGTAGATTGTAATCAATTTCAAAAGAAATAAGGCTTTCACTCGCTTATAATTTCTGTGGTCTACAGCTCTGTGTTCATCTGTTTGTGTGCTGATCAGTAGAATAGAAACTACAGTTATGGTGTTTACTGTAATATAATTATACAACATATATTTTAATTAAATTGTAACTAAATTGTAGTTATAATATAATTACCCTACAACTATATTTTAATTATATTTTCCCCTCTGTATAACTTAGGTATAAAGCTACATATATTTTTTTATACAACTTATCTTATTATAATATATAGTTATGGTGAAATTACATCATACTATAGTTAGATTTGATTTTTTTTCACTCAAAAAACTTGTGGTAGTTTTTAGATAGTCCTTTTTTGATTTTTTTTAATAAATCATTTTGGATATTTTGCATTATCATATCGTTGAAGCAAAGTTCAAAACAAAAGAAAGAGTCTTGATTTAGAGCAGCTTAAATTGCTTGGGCAGTGTAAGCCGTTACGAACATACTTACCATTAAAAAAAGTAAAACCCGTAAAAACCAGACCTAGAAGTTCTCTAAATTAATAAAAAAATTAATTTAATAAAAAAAATACTACAGAGATCAGTATAATATGAAATAATTCCCACCAAATCTTAAGTCTAAGCTCAACTTTATTCTAAAGAATAAAAAATCAGGTTAATAGTATAAGTTTGAGGTTTGGTGAGAATGTATTCATATCAATACCTATCTCTAGTATTTTTTCATGAAATTATAAAACTTTTTATGTTCAACTTTCACGTGTTTTCACAGGACATATACCCTACTTACATAAGCAGAAGTGCAAAAGAGATGATTTTTTTCTTTTCAAAATAAATATTGATTTTTCCTTTCAAAATAAATATTGATTTTTTTCCTTTCAAAATAAAGGTTCTTCATGTGAAACATGAGTTTTGAAGAAGAAAGAGCTTCGCAATCGTGATTATAAGCTTGCGATGCTTGCTGCTGCTGCTAGCAAATAGGCATGAAAAATCGAAAACGATATTATTTTTTATTAGTTTTTAAAAAAGGTAACGGTCAGGAATTTAGTTTTTATATTAATAAAATTAAATATTTAGTGATAATTTTAATATGACGTATAGAGAAATTAAAAAAAATTACAGAAGAAATAATATTATTTTTTTTGCAAAAATGATATTGGTATGATAGAAAAAATTATATACGGTTTTCATCCCTATTAGCGACGCCGGGATTTGGCAAACAATAACTAATGAAGTATATAGGCACAGACATTAAATCATTAGCCACCTAAAAAATTTAGAACATTTCTTATGCTATAGATAACTTAATATTTCAGGGCCGGCTACCCCTAATAGCAAGAGATCCGAAACCGAAATCAAACAACCATAAGACGTTTCGCTAGTAAACTGTGCACGTCAGATTTAAAAGCTTCCTACATGACGAAAAAAACGACTCAACCAATCTAGTAATAATCTTGTAGAACCGCGGATCAGGGGACCAACTCTCGTTTCAAGATATCTGGTGACAAAACTTTGTTAACATCAGTTGCTGTTGGTTGATTTTCCATGGTGAAACTGCAGCACGATGCATGTGATGTTGTCTAAGGTAAGCCGAGAGTGGGCGACTTCTGTCAGCTTCATGGCTGCTGCTTTGGGTCCATCTTGCGCTTTCAAAAGAGAAACAGCATCCTTGTTGACAAAAGATGTAAAATGCTAGTTAGCATTGGACCGAATGAGATACGCGCTCGCACGAGGGCAAAGCTGTGTGTCAGGGGTGAACATAGTGGATGTCATTCATTGGTTTTCATGTAAGCAGATATTTCTGCTGTTTTTTTCTAGGTCGCATAATCAACAAACAGGGATTCAACAAATGATACCTCATTTCGCATAACATCCCAAAGGCCATCAGTAGCAAGAATCAGGTATTCCAAGCTTTCATCGACCACTTTTTCCTGCATATTTACAGTAAAACATCACAAAAGATTCATAGGTGATGTTCAATAGGCTTTTCCATTAACAGGTTTTGTGGCATATAAGGAATCAGTGCGTGAACAATTAAGTAGAAGGATAGGATCATATGCAAAGGAGGAACATGTAGCAGGAGAATTTGAAATGCTGAATTACATGGGTTTTCTCATGACCAATCAGGAACATCGACATTCCCAGATCACAGGTGAGATTAAAGTGATCAATCAGGAACATCAACATTTCCCAGATAGACTGCACTTGCAGGCTGTTTAGCATTGCAGCAGATCCATTTCATTCAGGTTGATGATGTGTACAGACTATTTCATGATACCCAAGTGCATATGAAATGGGTATTATGGTTTAGTAAGACAAAACCAGTACAGAAAAGCTGGTCCTTGTCCACATAAAAATGTAAACATGCAAGGGGCGGGGATCCAGTGCAAAAAACTAAACTTTAAAAAGATACCTGAATATCTGGTTCTGCTTTCACATAGTGCTTCAATGCACGGTTGCCAAATGCACGGGACATTGCCAAAAGTCCATTAACCCTCCATGTATCTGCTTCGACATGATCAAACTTCTCAAGTTTTCATTCATACTTCCTATTAGATTAAGCTAAAGCTGGCCAAATACATCAGGAGGATTTTCATGATTAAAGGGCTTACCATCGAAAACAACAATACCTCCGGCATCCTCAATTCTCTTCTGCTCATCTTTTCTGTTAGGTTTATGATCTTCTGACAGTGGGACAGCTAAAAAAGCATGGAAAGAAACGAGATTTTAACGGAAAAACAAACAAGAGAATAAATGTCATTTCACAGTTTCTAGATTATTTGGCATGCTGTAACTTATTAAAGTGGTATATAGCAACATATCAAAAGTTAGTGCTCAATTCCTCAGTGTCATTGATAAAATCTACATGTGACATAATCCTTTGTAACTCAGGAAAAATAGAAATAGTCATTTGAAAGTTAGAATCCGGTAGTGCGTCATATTTTGATATTTTTCAGTTGACAGAAAGGTTTCAGGGCATACTGGATAGCAACCGTTTATAGTTATATGGAAATCTGAAGTGAAGTGTCATCACTAACAAAGAAACACAACCAATCAAATATTACCTTTGCCAGCTTTTAGAGCGACAACACGTGAATCACCAACATTACCAACATATAGGTGGTTGCCAACCAAAATAGCAGTCACAGCTGTTGAACCATCATCCCTAAAAGGATTAGAAGACACTGACTCTAGGAAATCAGCATCAGTTTTCAGGAACGTTTGGCCTGTATTTTGCAAAAGCATTCAAGAAAATGATAACATCAGTACTGTAGCACTGGACCTGAATGTTCGGAAGAAGTACAGCTGGAGCAAGAGGGAGAACATTACTTATAGCAAGCTTTGTGTCTCTAAGGAGCTCAGGGTGATTCACAAGGTTTTCAAACAAATGTTCCTTAAGATATTCAGCAGCAAGTGATCCTCCATGACCTAATGTATGAAATGTTAGGAACAAAGACATATTAGGGAATGAAAATAACTTAATGAAAGAAAATTCAAGGACAGTACCATCAAATACACCAAATAGGCTGACTGTCTGTTCGTTGATCGTAGTCATCTTTATGCTAAACCGATCCTCCATAGAAGGCCTCCTCCCCTTGAAACTTGAATAATCCCAGCTAAGTCTACCATCCTCACTACCAAAAAGGTCATTGACATTATGTTAATCCATGTGCCGTCTCAAATATCTAGTAAAAGGACCACAACTACAGGAAGTTCAAGAAATTCTGAAATTGCACGGACAAGCAACTTCGAATGCCAGCAAGTAAATACATACATAATATCGCGTTGAGGTCCATATTACAATCATATAAATAAAGAAAACTAAAATATGTAAGATGTTTAGTACAGCTTCTGAAACAGAATCGAACTACATGTCAACCACAAGTTCAGAAAAGGCAGCATTAGGCGCAGTCCCCATCATAGACTGAACACAACTGTGGAGATTATGGGTACCCCATACCCACACGGCATGGTTATCCGACTAGTTATAGGGGATAACTTATATATATAAAATATGTAACAGATCATGACTTGGGTATTACGTTTCCCTGTATATTATGGAACGGCCTAAAGTCCTGGTTTGATAAGATTGTAAAGTAGATTTAGGAAACCGATACCGTATTGGTTAAGGTTTCTATCTTGTAACCCTGCCCCCCAACCTATATAAGGCGGGCAGGGAGCCCCTCTAGGGGCATGAGACAACCTGATCGTCAGATCAATACACACTCGGCGGATTCAAATCCCCAAACAGGAGTAGGGTATTACCTCTCATTGAGAGGGCCTGAACCTGTCTAAATACTTTGTCTCCGCATCCATCCACTTTTAGGTCTCGTGCGCTACCCCCTTTTATTATTGCCGAATTCATGTTTCGACAGTTGGCGCGCCAGGTAGGGGCAGCGCCGAGTACCTCGTCGACGAGCGCGATGGAATCAATTTCAAAGAGAAGCACTGAGATCAATTTCAATGACTCAAATCTCTGACCTGGTTTGTCGTTCCAATCTAACTTTCATTAGATTGATTTTTTAATTGTGGATTAATCTACTGTTAATCTCTTGTTTTTATACACCGGCTGAGATCGAGACGACCAGCAACCAGAACATCGGATCAATTGTTGCTGATTGCACTCGGGACTGCCGGCGACCGGGATTTAATTCACATAGACATGTCACCGGGAGGTCGAGTCGGCGAAACCGAGCCAACTAGCTGGGCAGATGTCGTGCGAACCTCACCCACCGGGTGTCTGATGTTGAAGGCCGCGTAAGCCACCGGATGGATATACTGACCGGATTAGTCCGAGTCTGTTTTTCCCTTCCCTGGTTAATTTAATCCTTCTGGTCTATATTGATTATCAATATTTTATTCTTGATGACTAATCACGGGTTAATGCCTGACTTTCCTTTGTCTTCTGTTTAATGTCGATTGTTGGCGAGTCCGATCATGTATCGTCAAGCTTTCAGCCTTGCTGTGACTCGGGCAAAGAAAAAGCACCAGCATTTGATCGACAAGCAATTGACACGGCCTTATCAGCTCCCGTGGCTAGCAAAATCATGCCATCAAAACACGTGCATGGATCAACGTGCACAATTCATCTAATCATGCCATGCATATGAGATATTAAGCATTTATATTTTTGATCGCTAATCAACTCTTCCTGGTGTTTCTGTGTTTGCATATATTGGTTGGATTGAGGTTGAGCCGTGCGGATGATATACACGGCCACGGCAATGACCTGCACCTACCATAGTTCAACGCAGAGGACCCGTTTTATTTGTCGTCGGGTACGTCACCTCCACCGTTGATGGGCATCTTCATCATCACTGCTGGCTTGCCTTCACCATCGCCGACTGGTGCCTCCGCCTACACGGCTGGCCTATTATGCCGCCGCTGTTGGGCGTCTACGACTTCACCGCCGGCCTGCCTCCGTCGCCGCCGACTGGTGTCTTCGCCTATATGGTTGGTTGGTCACACCACCGTTGTTGGGCGTCTACGTCTTCACCGCCGGCCTGCCTCCGTCGCCGCCGATTGGTGCCTCCGCCTACACGGCTGGCCTATTATGCCGCCGCTGTTGGGCGTCTACGACTTCACCGCCGGCTTGCCTCCGTCGCCGCCGAGTGGTGCCTCCGCCTACACGGCTGGCCTATTATGCCGCCGCTGTTGGGCGTCTACGACTTCACCGCCGGCCTGCCTCCGTCGCCGCCGACTGGTGCCTCCGCCTACACGGCTGGCCTATTATGCCGCCGCTGTTGGGCGTCTACGACTTCACCGCCGGCCTGCCTCCGTCGCCGCCGACTGGTGTCCTCGCCTATACGGTTGGTTGGTCACACCACCATTCATGGGCGTCCACGTCTTCGCCGACCGGCTGGCCTTCGCCGCCGCCGACTGGTGTTTCTGCCTATACGGCTAGCCTATTATGCCGCTGCTGTTGGGCGTCTACGACTTCACCGCTGGCCTGCCTCTGCCGCCGCTGACTGGTGTTTTTGCCTATACGGTTGGCGGACTCCGCCGCTGTTAATGGGCTTCATCATCTACACCACTGGCTTGGTTCCACTGGCGCCGACTGGTATTTTTGTCACCATTGATGGACTGCTTTATTCCCACATCGGCTACTTCTGCTGTCATCGAGGGAATACGACAAAGCTAAGTCATCATTTATTTTATTCTTTATATGATATTTTGTCTTTTCCTTTGCCTCACTACATCAACTGGTTCGCCGTTGACTAGTGAGTCGGGGGCTATAGATGTTATATCGTATTTTTTAAACAATTTTCATAATATTTATCTTGATTGCTTGCGACATAATCTGAGTACAAAAGTACCTATCGAGTTATGGAGTTCTATCTTCCTATGCTTTCCGTTTGGTTTGCCAATGGATGGTTGCCTTTGGGCCGATTCCTAGCACCTGGGGGCTCGTTGGATGGACCGAGTAACGCAAGGTGCTAAGTATTATTCGGAATAAATCAAAAGCATAGAGATGAGATAAATTTATTTTCTGCTCTTAATAATTGCAAAAGTACCTGAGTAGTAAATTCTAATCCGTGAAACTTTGTTCCATTAATGACGAACTCATATCACTCATATGCATGTTTGGGAAATGCCTAGGTCGACTCCCGATGCTTGGGGGCTATGACTAGTCGGACAGAGTGTTTAAACGTACAGAGTCATCTGCTCGGGGAAATCAAAATTGACAAGAGGAGAAATACATATTTATAAATATTTTAAAATACTTGATTTTTTCTCGAGTATTATATTTATATCAGATACTACTCATCCTATATGTTTGTTCTGCAGGATCCAGATCCAGATATGCATAAAAGGGATTCATGGCTTTAAGCTTATCTCTTACGCTCCAGGAATGGATCAGTCAGAACATCACCACCGGCTCGCCTCGACCGCCGCCGACTGGTGTTTCCGCCTGCACGGCTGGCCTATTATGCCGCCGTTGTTGGGCGTCTACGTCTTCACCGACCGGCTTGCCTTCGCCGCCGCCGACTGGTGTTTCCGCCTGCACGGCTGGCCTTTATGCCGCCGTTGTTGGGCGTCTACGTCTTCACCGACCGGCTTGCCTTCGCCGCCGCCGACTGGTGTTTCCGCCTGCACGGCTGGCCTATTATGCCGCCGTTGTTGGGCGTCTACGTCTTCACCGACCGGCTTGTGCACGGCTGGCCTATTATGCCGCCGTTGTTGGGCGTCTACGTCTTCACCGACCGGCTTGCCTTCGCCGCCGCCGACTGGTGTTTCCGCCTGCACGGCTGGCCTATTATGCCGCCGTTGTTGGGCGTCTACGTCTTCACCGACCGGCTTGCCTTCGCCGCCGCCGACTGGTGTTTCCGCCTGCACGGCTGGCCTTTATGCCGCCGTTGTTGGGCGTCTACGTCTTCACCGACCGGCTTGCCTTCGCCGCTGCCGACTGGTGTTTCCGCCTGCACGGCTGGCCTTTATGCCGCCGTTGTTGGGCGTCTACGTCTTCACCGACCGGCCGTCTCGTCCGCCGCCGACTGGTGCTTCCGCCTGCACGGCTGACTTATTATGCCGCCGTTGTTGGGCGTCTACGTCTTCACCGACCGGCCGCCTCGACCGCCGCCGACTGGTGTTTCCGCCTGCACGGCTGGCCTATTATGCTGCCGTTGTTGGGCGTCTACGTCTTCACCGACCGGCCGCCTCGTCCGCTGCCGACTGGTGTTTCCGCCTGCACGGCTGGCCTTTATGCCGCCGTTGTTGGGCGTCTACGTCTTCACCGACCGGCCGCCTCGACCGCCGCCGACTGGTGTTTCCGCCTGCACGGCTGGCCTATTATGCTGCCGTTGTTGGGCGTCTACGTCTTCACCGACCGGCCGCCGCATCCGCCGCTGACTGGTGTCACCGCCTGCACGGCTGGCCTGTTATAACGCCAACTGATGCTATCTTCTTCACGGCTGGCTACATCGCTGTCACTACTAATAGGCATCAGTATCTTCAACACAAGCTGCCTACGTTTGTCATGGCTGCCGACTGGTTTCTTCACTTCCATGGCTGCATGATTCTGCCAGTGTTGATTGGCCTTACCATCTTCATCGCTGGTCGTCTCGTCTGCTGCTGACTAGTGCCCTCGCCTCTACGTCTGGTTTATACAGCTACCACTACTGATGGACATCATCATCTTCCGTCGCCGACTGATTATGCCGCCGCCGACTGGTGCTTTTATCTTCACAACTGCGCGTCTTCACTACCGGTTTGCTTCTGTTGCCGCCGACTTGTGTTCACTTCATTACGGCAATACAACTTTGTCATCATGGTGGAGCGACTTCATCTTTATTATCTTCGGCACCGGCAAACTCTATTGTTGCTACTTCGCAAGTTTTACTATTTCACCAACCACGACGTCTTTGTGAACCTCGACATCTCGGCATGCAATGCCATGTTATTTTACTACAACAAGTGGCTCTCCAATATTCAGGATTTCTACTTGGACATCTTCAACACATATCTTCAATCAAGTGATGACTACTCGACAACAAGAAGCTATAATTCTCGACTCTATGTTCAGTTGTTTCCCAACTAATCAAAGAGTCGGGGGCTACACAAATACATGGCTCAAAATTTGACAAGCTTTATGTCAAGATGAAGCAATCAATTAATCAGCCAACAAGTCAACTCTGGGAGTCATCAATTTTGTCTTCGCTTCAGAGCAGTAGGTCAAGATTAAATTTACATGTCTGGGAGTTTGGAGTCATCAACCAATCAACTCATATCAGATTCAATGAGTTGAACAACAGCATATACTTTCCTCCAAGTGAAGCATCTACAACAGTTTGATGGATTATTGTCACTGACATCATCACCAGCACATCTGCTTCATCGGCTCTGACATTCCGCCGTTGCTAATGGATGACTAAGACTTCGCCAACTTGCTATTCCGCCTTCACGGTTGACCTACTATGCAAACGCTGATGAGCGTCTTCGTCATTATCATCGGCTATTACACCGCTATTGACTGGATCACCGACATCGTCATCTTCATCAACATCCTGTCAAACCTCTTTATCATAGCTTACTCTACTGCTATTGATAGGCAACTTCGTCATCATATTTGATCATCTCTGTTGATGCTTATCATCATTACTGTCGGTTACGTTTGTCGTCGCCGACTATTTTCCTCATCTTCATGATTGGTGGATTTCGTCATCGCCTTTGATCTGCCTCGTCTGTCACCGACTGATTATTTCGCTGCCATGGCTACACAACTTTATCGCTGGGCGCCTTCATCTTCATTGATGGCTGACCTGACTGTTGCCGACTGGTTTCTTCGCCTCCACGGCTGTGCAACTTCATCACTTTTGATTGGTATCACTATCTTCACTACCACCAATATTTTTGCCACCTCTGTTGGGCAATATTATCTCTATATTGGTCGTCTTGTCTCTATGCCAACTGCGTCAGCTACCATCAATGAACAATTGTGACTACGTGCTCAGGGGCTTACTAGCTCAAATACAAGTATTATATCTTCAATTTGGACTTGCTCCGGATATATGCAACATGAATTCATGATCATGGGTCTATTTTATATGCTCAAAGACTGGACTATTTATTATTCCCCGTAAGGGTTATCAACTGAATACTTGCGCCAGTCGGGATTCAATTGTTACATCTATTTTGGAGTATCCCATAAGGGATAATCACTCAGATCAGAAGCTATTCATATGAGCTACGCTTGGTCTATATTACCCGGAAGATTTATTACTCGGGAGCATGTTATATGCGTCATCCTTTAAAGGGTGTCGAAGGCATATTTTTTGGCCTAGGCCTAATATGTCTGCAGCCCATATTTTCAGGTGTGGCCTGTCACGTTCTTTTAGGGACTTAGGCACTTTTTGCTTAGGCCAAAGTGCGCGTGATCAAGTGCCCAATACCTTAAAATCCTTTTATACCGCAGTTACTCAACTTTTTAGGAGTTGGTACAATGCATCTTAAAAGGTGTCAAACAGTAAAGCTTTATATAGCTGTCCCGCTGACTTTTTTATATAAGTCAAGGTGCTGTTTGGGTTTTTAAGCAATTGATTGGATACAATATCATTGCTTTTTGCCACGTAAGTGTGTATTTTTATTGACCAATATTATTGCTTAGGCTGATTATATATTATGGTCATTTTCCAGGCGGTTGGTAAATCCTTTATAAGTTTATTTACTCGGATTTTACACCACATATGCCATATATTTCCGGGTGTGGTGAAACCATGTGTCTTTTAGGGACTTAAGCACATCTGTTAAAGCAGTGTGCGCATGGTGTGTGCCCAATACTTTGGAAATTTCTTTATTCACAGCATATAAGCTTCTTTATAGCTGTTTTGCTATGTGAATTTTCAAAGATGTTGTCAACTTTAGGTTACACTCATCATATTTTACAAAGCAGTCGGTATATCACTTGGATCATCATATTATTCAGGGATTCACACCGCATATGCTACATATTAATATTAAGTCGCTTGGTTGACTACAATTATCGAAACCACTCGGTTGGTTAGATTATTTATTCCTTGATTATATGTTTGGTTTGTTCAATTAAACCACATAGTCGGGGGTTACACCTATTAGGTGCATCTAGTCGATGCATCTGACTTTATTTTTTCAGCCCTCCACAGTCTTCATATTTGGTAAAAGTACTCGGGAGATCATGGCGAGGATGATTGAAGCACTCGGCTTTGGAGTAATCTAGTTCGAGAGAAGATTATCTTTCTGACTGTGAAGGTCTCAGGGGCTACTGTGGAGATTATGGGTACCCCATACCCACACGGCATGGTTATCCGACTAGTTATAGGGGATAACTTATATATATAAAATATGTAACAGATCATGACTTGGGTATTACGTTTCCCTGTATATTATGGAACGGCCTAAAGTCCTGGTTTGATAAGATTGTAAAGTAGATTTAGGAAACCGATACCGTATTGGTTAAGGTTTCTATCTTGTAACCCTGCCCCCCAACCTATATAAGGCGGGCAGGGAGCCCCTCTAGGGGCATGAGACAACCTGATCGTCAGATCAATACACACTCGGCGGATTCAAATCCCCAAACAGGAGTAGGGTATTACCTCTCATTGAGAGGGCCTGAACCTGTCTAAATACTTTGTCTCCGCATCCATCCACTTTTAGGTCTCGTGCGCTACCCATTTTATTATTGCCGAATTCATGTTTCGACAACAACCAAGTTATATATTCCCCCGTAAGCATCAAGGCAATCACTATTACTCATGGAACATCATTCTCCACGAGCATCACCAGCGACGGCATCGCGCTGCTAACAGCGCACGTAATCAGCGAATAATCCTGAACAATAATTGGACCTTGGTTAGTGATTAATTACCTCGCGGAGCCGCCGGTAATCCAGCCGTTGGACTGCGACGGCGACCGCGTGCGCGCAGCCGACCCCGCGGCCCGCCGGGCCTGCATCCGCGGCGGAGCAAACGACGACGACGACGAGGAGCCGCAGCCCACCCCGCAGAACCCCGGCCAGCCGGGGAGCCCGCGGGAGGCCGCTGGAGTACCGCCGGGGGAGGGGGAGGCGGCGACGCGGCGCCCACGCCCCGCCGCCTCAATGCCGACCAGAGCCCGCAGGCCGGCGGCGCGCGCCATCCTCCTGAGCAGCGCTCCGGCGAGGCCCCCTCCGCCGCTTCGGCCTTCGCGGGCGGCGCAGCGGTGAGTCGGCGGCGACGGAGGCCTGGGCGGGGACATAAAACAAACTTTTTGGCGTTGTTTATCCGGTGCAGGGGAGAAAATGACGTCGTGTCGCGTGTTCGCGAATTCGAGAGAGAGAGAGAGAGAGAGAGAGATTGTAATGAACAGATTGAAGGAAGAAGATATTACTAAACGTTACACTTTCTTACTGGAAAATTGATTCGTCGGTTTAATTAGAAATTTGTGATACAGATTGATATTGGTTGTGTTTGGTTTGATCCACAATCTTTATTTGAAAATATATGTCTTTGGAAATATTTTACTCATAAGTTGAATATTAGTGGATATCCTTGCAGTAAAGAATAACCATGAATACATATTTACTTTGGAGAAAAATCATACTATAATGTGTGTACTATGACCCTAACTAATAAGGACCCAATTGAAACGCGTGAATTACGTATTGAATAGTTCGATCCATGCTATGCTACAAAAATATTACTCGTGGCCCTGTTTTTTTTTCAGTTTAGGATTATTATAATCTAGATTATTGGAAGTAACCTGAAAGAAACAAACAACTTATTAAAATAGCTTATTATAGTCTCCAGCTTATTATAATCTGATAAGCTCATTTAGGTGAGCTTTTTTCAGATTATTGGGTAAAAAATTAACCACCATGCCACCCCACTCCCTCTTTAGACTTGCAAACCCAATAATCTAGGCCCTAATAATTTAGGAAAGAAACAACTAACCGCTTATTCTACTACAGATTATAATAATCTAGCTATAGTAATCTGGCTCAATAATCTAGATTATAATAATCCAAAGCTGAAAGAAACAGGGCCTTACAATAATAAAAAAAATACCAATAGTCGTACTGCATAAAACATTGAAGTGGTGAAATAGGTTTCCTCGATATCAGAGTAAAGGAATAATTCGTTTCTTTATATTCCACACGAATAAGAAGAAACCTTGTCTGTCTTATGGAATGAAAATATGGATATCTTTAACCCAAGTAGTTTCACATAGAAAATATTAATGAATTTTTAATCTCAAAATAGCATGAAATAAAAGTTCAGGCAGATAATGATCATGTCATATCCTACATCACACTTTTCTATCTAATTTAAGTTCAGGATGATATATAATATTTTACATGCTAAATTGGTACAAATACAAAATATAATTGGACAGGAGAATAAAGTTTGTGAGATAACATGCTTAGACATCGAGAGAGAAGAGAAAAAAGAACAACACATTAGGGTGGGCGTATTATAGATTCAAGGATATTCAGATGTATATCCAAGATTTTTAGATAATAAATAAATATATATATATAATTATATATATATATATATATATACTTTGTATATGCATTAAAAAAATAAAGAAAAAGCCTTAAACTACTTATCTTGGGCCTTGTTTCACCCTTCCTCCACTATTGGGCCTAAATTTCCCACTTTCGTCCCCCTTTCCTCTCTCTCAGGCTCTTAGCCCGCACTTGCTTTGCCACTTTGGGCCGCAACTTACTAACTCAGTCCATTTCCCCTCCCCTAACCGGCTAGCAAAATCCCAAAATCTCTTAATATTTGAATGATTGTTTAGTTACATTGATTGAAAGGGATTTCTTCTTGAAAGTTAAGGATAAGGACATTATCACTTATTTTTAAAATATCAAACATCAAAAAGTTGATCTCAAAATTGTAAGATTTCTTACCAATTTATAATTTTCTAGTCTTTATGTATTATTTAGGTTGGCACTTCGATACATTCACCAACTAGTATTTTTATATGTTAAACAATTTCAACTGATGGTGAATTATATCAATGTGTGAACTTATATTCAATTGTATGCTATATTCTCTTTATGTTATATAATTATTAGTGTGTGATGCTATACAAGCAAATTATTATATTTCTAGGTGTACGAACAAATTTTTTTTACCCCTTCCTATTTCGAATACACAAGTTTAAAATGTTGGGTCCGCCATTGCAACACAACAATAGCAACTAACCAGTAGAGAGAGGAGTAAACTCCACACGTGCCATTCGACTATGTTTCCCTCGTTTAATTCAATATACGGTTGAAGGGAATGGAAGGAGGTAGTGATACTTCTTCCTTTCCTTCCATATTCTCTTCCTTGACATCTCACTATGGCCATGACTCGGGAGAAGTGATGCCTCCTCCTTTTACCAAGTTATGACCAAGGCGACGCTCGCGTTTGTATGACGTAACATACTACTACAATAGGATGTGTTACCGCGGTGACTATCAACAAGTTGTCCAGTTTCGCTCTAGCCAAATTCTATTTGTATGATAGTTAGGTCTATGATGTTAGTAACATTAGAAGGTAACACTGTAACAAGATTGTATTTTTGGGATAATTGTATTCATTAACATTGTAGCTATGTAGTAAAATTTCATACTATTTTATAGTTTAGACAATAGAGTTGTAGTTACTTGAAATTTACTTTTTTTAAAAATCTAAACCTAATTAATTTTCACAAAAAATATCCTTTAAAAATGAATCCACGATTAGGACAAAACTGTACAGGCCAGCAAAGCGTGGACCGTTGGCCTAGTCGTCGCCGCCATGCCGTGGAGTCCAACTCCACCCACACCCAACCGCACGAACGAAACCAAGGCACCCGTTTTCGTCCTCCGCTTTCCATCGCTCCCTCCACCTCCACCGCACTACCACCACCACCACCACCAACCGCCGTGCGGACGCCGCCGGCTTCCCGGCCGCGACGCGGAGGAGGACCGAATTCCCCCCCACCCCTCCGTCCAATCCGCGCGCACCACCTCCGAGGTAAAGCCTCTGCGCTCCCCCTGCTCCGTCGCGCGGCGGGTTCTCCCTCCACAGCCAGCCGAGGGGGGCGGTGGCGTCATGCGAGGCAGAGGGAGGGAGGCCGCCTGAGGGGGGCAAGGCGCCGCCTCAGGCCGGACTTAATTTGTTACTGCTTCTTCGCTACGATGCCCTGCTTGCTTTCTCTTAGCGAATTTTTGTGGTCTCGTGTGTCTAGAATAGGTAGCGCGGCGTCAGCAGGTTTTGGGGGTTTGGTTTGCGGCTGCGGAGTTTTCAGCCTTTCAGGCCAAGCCATGGTTATAACTGGGTGGGTTAGAATTTTTTTAGTTGCTTGATCGGTTGCTTTTACCTATCATCACAGGGAACAAATAGGTCACAATTGGTAATTCTAATCATTTGTTAATCGGAACGACTATGGGCACTGGTGGTAATTGATGTTTCATATACTAACTGTCACTTTCCTGCTTATCTGTTCATCGGGGTGAAATTGGTGTGACACTTTGGGAGTTGAGATACTCGGCAGCCATACCTTATCTATGCTTTGCAAAGTTTAACCACCATGTATTTGATGGCGACTCCCTCCGAAATAACAGAGAGGGATAGAAATACAGAGTTATATATGTTAAGGCTAGGCTAGGCTAGGTTTGCTGTGGAAATGATTCTTATAAGCTATAGCTGTTTAGTTTATTTTATGGGATCAATCAAATTATAGTTTGATAAAATATATCATCCAACTTTCATGTCTCTCCTAATTATTTCATATTTTCACAACATAATAATATTATCATTTAGAACATCTTTGTATTATAGTGGGAAGCTGATTTTAACATGATTACTAAAAAGAAGTAATAAGCTCTATCTGAATTAAAAAATAGTCATAATTTGAAACTCAAAATTAACTTTTGATTTAAATACAAGCATTTTACCAAACACTGGAATACCCAAAAAGCTGTTGCCCTAAATGAAACACAGTCCGCCGCAATACCAAATGGAGCCTGCCTACACGAGGGAAACACCAAATCACCACTTCAGCATTCTATCTATTGTCCAGTTAGCTAAATGCAATCATTCAATATTCAACAATCAAATGGACATTTCCTGTCAGGTGTGATGAGTGATTGTCCATGCACAAAATCTAAGCTGACTGTTGTGACATAACAAAGTTAAATTTACTGTTTCCATTTGATTATGTTGCTGTTCTTTGTTCTGTGTCCATATTCATGTGCATACGCGTTACTTCCCTTACTCAATTATGCTTGATAATCATCAGGGAACTCCATGTATGCAAATGTCGCCACCCTTGTAGAATCAATAAAGCTGTTCTAGCAGCTAACCTTTGGTTTGGTGGATTTTTGGAAAATGATGATGGGAAGAGAGGACAAATATGTGAGGTCAGTTTCCTCCATCACCAGTTGTTTGAAATAGTTTACAAAGAATAAAGGCTTGTCAAATGTCTTGTGTCATAACTTATAGTAACAAGTTTAGGACATGAAACATGGAGAGGGTTTGGTGATTTCTAAAGAGCAATGGTAATTTGGTGGTTCTACACTAGTGTGGTGGATGTGATCCAAGCTGTCAATAATGAGGCCACACTTTGGTGTTTGGCGGGAGCTTCGAAACTCCAAAAGCTGTTGTCTAAGGCAGTAGTTCTTGCACCCTAGGGAGGTCGGCTTGAGTTTCTTCGGTTTTAGAGTGGGTGTGTGTTGTGTTCTGTAAGACTTTCGATGGGTGGGTGTCAGGGTTTGTTTAAATCTTGCATCCCTCGCATTTCTTTCTCTCTTAATGAAATGATACGCATATCTCCTGCGTGTTCGAAAAAAAAATCGATGCTTCTACTTTCATCACATGATGGTTTTGGACATTTTGGCCTCTGAGAGACCCTGGCATGGATTGACTTGTTGGAACGATTGTTACTGCTCATTTCCTTGTCTTTTGCAGCATATAAACATGAATGCAATAATTTCTCTCCAATTTTTCCAAAATAGAAATCTAGCTTCGGTTCAAGATCATCAAGAAGTCTGACATATAAATGTATGGAAATGACAACACCAGTATCTGATTAAATTTTTGAGTAAATAATGAAGACTGCTGGTAAAAATAACGTAGTTGAAGTAAGAGAGAAGAGAGAAGAGAGAAAAAAAGTTTGGGTCTCTAGGGACCTGATCAATGAATATTAAAGTCCTGGGACCCATTAAAGTTTTGAGTAAATATTGAAAACAACTACTGAAAACTCGATGTAATAATTATTCTGTATTTTTTTTAACCATGTATGCAGATTTGAGGACTGGAGATCTGAGCAGTCAGTTATGTCACCACGGAGGCATAATGCTTTAAGTTCACTTAAAGAAAGAACTGCTGGAGTTTTTGCATTCCTAGGAAACCTTGTGCATTCTGAAACCTTAAAGAGATTGGTGCTGCATGAAAGGAAGTTGACAACTAGAACTCTTCATCCTCAGGGACCATTTCTGCAAAGCTGGAACAAGATATTTGTTTTGTCATGTATCTTTGCAGTTTCTGTGGACCCATTGTTCTTCTATATTCCGGTTATCAATGACAACAACACATGCTGGTATTTGGATAAAAAGTTGGAAATCACAGCAAGTGTCCTGCGCTTTTTCACAGATATCTTCTATATACTCCATATCATATTTCAGTTCAGGACAGGTTATATTGCGTCTTCTCTTACAACTTTTGGTCGGGGTGTCTTGGTTGAGGATAGATATGCAATAGCAAAGCGATACTTGTCAACATATTTTCTGATCGATGTCTTTGCTGTTCTACCCCTCCCTCAGGTACTCCGCATACCATGTACTTAGTTAAGCTCAGTATGGAACTATTTCATAGTATAGTTCACATGATTCTTTAGAATTATGATGGTATGTTGGTGATATACATATAAATTATGATTAGTGGATGCACCTTTGATAGTCCCTACATGAGAAAAATAATAGATATTCACCTCTTTTATGATTTATAATGATATAATGGAATTCACATATTGGTATCATGGGATGATTAGTAAGGATGCACTTTTGGTAGATACCACATCAGAAAAATAAAAGATTTTGATTTTACTCTGATACATGCAATTCACATGTTAGAAAAATGGGGTCATATACAAAGAGCTCTGTCTGTTTCTTCTATGACTTTGCAGTCTTAATAGTGCACTAAGTTATGCGCCTTTGATTTCTCAGTCAAGCTTGTAAGCATGGTCAATTTTGTTACCAGGTGGTTATTTTGGTTGTGCTACCTAATCTTGGAGGCTCAGAGGTTACAAAAGCCAAAAATATCTTGATGTTTATAGTTATATGCCAATATGTGCCTCGGCTGATCCGAATAAGGCCACTGTATCTCCAAATCACAAGGTCTGCTGGGGTAATTACAGAGACACCATGGGCTGGTGCTGTTTTGAACCTTTTAATTTACTTGCTCGCCAGTCATGTAAGTATTCTATTCAATAACTCTGGATAGTCAACAATGCCAAATCAACTGTCCTTTGCTAGAGCAATATTTAACTGCAATAGTGGAAAGCTGAAAACATGATCAATTTCCTGTAAAGATTACATGAATTTATTATTGATCAAAATAAATTCGGCTAACCTGGTTGATGTGTGGTATGGGTGGAATAGCACTTGTGTAGTCTCATTTTTTTTTATTTTTTGCCAAACCAGAGCCATAAACACCTCTTGTTTTGTGGTTTTCATCAGCAAAGTTGTCTAAATTTGTATACAGAAAGCAATGGTGTAACCTTTAAAGGTTTATTTTACTTAAGTTACATAAGTATTATAAGGAAAAGGATTTTGTCCAACATTTTCTCGATCCATTTCTCTGCGAGAGAAACAAAATTTTAGTTTGTCCAATCTGAAATACACTCTAATTGTAACAGTATAAATTATTAGTTTATATCAGCTATCATGTACCAAATATTTTCAATGAAATTTGATACTTAGCGCTTAGTAGTTCATCCTGTTTCTCGTGGGTCAATTCTCAAGAGATATTCTATCACATATACACCAATTTCAATGTCATCAATGCATATTTGTAACAATGTTGTCCAATTTTTCTATGATTCTATTTACATGCTTTATTGGCTCTATATCTGTTTCCTGATGGGTGTCATTTAGGAAGTCATAACAGTCAAGATTTACAAAATAAAAGTCGTAATATTGGTAAGAAAATAATATGCATGGATTTTGTTTTCTGTAAAAAAAATGGCTATAATATCCTTATGGGTAACAACACTTTGGTCTCTCAAGTTTTGCTTGAGGCTCCTGTTGGGCTCTGATGTATCATCCAGATGTGTGTGTGTCCTCAAATTTTCCTCATTAAAAATTAAAATTGGATCCACCGGGAGCAGCGCCTGTACAGGACTAATCGGTGTTGACCCTTGATCTCTTGGCTTGGCCAATTCGTTTGATATGCATGTCCTTGTAGTGCTTCAACTGGTTCAAAGGAGTAAGGACAATCATGACCCATAGTCGGAAAACTTGGAGGACTGGGTGGATAAATTGGAATGTCATGGACAATCACAACCAAAGAATGGCCTATGAAACTTGACTTCATACTACTAAATTGGCAAATAATTAAAATATTAGTGGCCCATGCAACCATCTAGTTGACTTCATTCATAAGTGGGATACTTTTGCAACTGCAGTGCCACTAAATTGGATATAATTAAATATTTCCATGCACCTTATATATTTATGACAAATCTTTGAACTGCTGCAGGTCCTTGGAGCACTCTGGTACTTGCTTTCCATTGAACGCAAAGATGCCTGCTGGAGAGACATGTGTAGTAATAATAGTACAGTCTGTAATCAGGCATATTTGTACTGTGGGGATAAGGAAAACTCGATCTTACGGACTGCTTGCCTTCCAATCGACTCAAACGATATAGATCCGAACTTTGGAATTTATGTGCCAGCTCTAAATAATGTCTCGCAATCAACTAATTTTTTGGCAAAACTATTCTATTGTGTTTGGTGGGGTCTGCAAAATCTTAGGTTTGTGCAAAACAGAAACATTTAAAGTATTTTCTGCTTGAACCAATAAACTTCTCTATGCCACCTATATTTATGTGTTGGTCTATTTAATGCAGCTCTCTGGGCCAAAACCTTAAGACAAGCACTTATGCATGGGAGAATCTGTTTGCAGTTTTTGTCTCAATATCAGGCTTGGTTCTGTTTGCACTGCTAATTGGTAATGTGCAGGTACGCATATTTAGCTTCATTGGCTATTAATTTTACAAGTCATTTTCTTGATTTATGTTATTATTCAAGCTTTTCATAATAGAACTTGCATTGCAAATCAGAAATATGCTAAAATTTTAAGTGTGTTATGTGTCTAATGCCTACATAATCAATTGAAGAGAACATGAATGCTATATACTGCTGCTAAAGATATACCCCAGAACAACAGAGAATATTTTTATGAGTGAATTATGGAAAACTTAAAAATAATAAATCAAATTAATTCTGAGAAAAATGAGTCCAACTTATTTTATCTCCTAGGGATATGAAACTAAAGATATGGAACCTTGTGCTAGGTTTCGAGTGTTCATTCCAATACCATTTGGAGATAAGACTAGCATAATCTTGGTAGGAATAAGATCATCAGTCCTTATTTGCAACAGTAGTCTTTGTACAAAATGGTTCAGGTCTTGTACTACAAAGAATGTTTCACAGGATCCCTGACATTGAATGAAATTAGGTGTTTTTGCTGCGTAATGATAAATGCGTAATTTGGGTAGCTAACTCATCCTTCCATTTTTTGTGACTTCTACAGACCTATTTGCAGTCAGCCCATCTGAGAGAAGAAGAAATGAGAGTGAAAAGCCGTGATACAGATCAATGGATGTCATATCGACTGCTTCCTGAGAATCTCAAGGAACGAATACGTCGTCATGAAAAATATAGATGGCACCAGACGAGCGGGGTTGATGAAGAACTCTTGCTTATGAACCTCCCCAAGGATCTTAGGAGGGCTATAAAACGGCATCTTTGCTTATCACTTCTTATGAGGGTATGTTCTCACAAGCTTCTTTTGCAGAGTAACCTGCTGTAGTAGTCTTATTTTTGTGTCTTATCCAATTGCAGAAAATATGTTGGTTAAGTAAATAATTTGGCCATTTTCACGTAGCTCAGCCAAATCTAGTTACAGTAGCAGACCCAAGAAATATGATCTGAGATTTGGCTGAGCACCATTTGTTTTCTACTTATTGTAGCATAATATTTTCAGTCCATGCAGCTCATCATGCTATATTGTTTAAAACCGGAATTGCATCTTCCTCACAATTGCTGATGACATAAAAGTATCCTGGTTGTTCAAGAATGACAAAGACCATGTTCCAAAAGGCACATAAATGAAAGCTTAAGGCTTCTTTTACCTTCTTTTCAATAGTTGTAGAGTTGCTTATGTGTTGCAAGGTGTCATTGTTTCTTGCTCTGAACCTAAGCCAATTACCTCTAAAGTGGTGATGTAGGTCTTCCAATAGTCGCGTGCTTTAGGTGCACACCAGTAATCTAGCATGAAATTTTCAGTGCATGAAATGTGTTTGAGGTACTCACGTAGAAACTGGAAAATTAAGTAATGTAAAACCATTGGCGTACTAGTTATGGGTCATCTTTTCACATTTTAAGGTTCTGGGTTCAGACATCAGAAAGCATTACTAAACTGGGAAGCAGTGGGAAGGGTGTAAAGGACGAGGGTCACTGGGGTTTACATGGTGAATCGGAAATCAGCTCCATCATCCAACTTCTGTAGTTTCTATGCATCTGAAATGCTCTTCATTTACGCTTATAGGCATCTTTTTTCACAGCATTGGATTTAGTAGCACCATAGCAAGTCATCAGTTTGGCTGTGGCTTTGAAGGTCACGTGTTTATTTCTTTTTTTTGGATGTATAAAATTTTGTTGGAGCATTAATGGCAAAATCGTACTGGAATTAGTAAATAACTCTTCTAACTAACTAGGAGTAAATTAAACAGGACAACAATGCCAAACGGAGCCATAATCTAGGGAGGTTCTTTGGGGACATGTTCCAGGGAAACCTTGAATCTGTTGCAGCAGTAACCGTTGTGTTAATATCTTTTGTGTGTGAATGTAGATCATTTATCTCCCTGCTATGGATGGACATAGACCATCTCCCCCCGTTATGATATTACAATTCTTTTTTCTTTGCTTCAGGTTCCAATGTTTGAAAACATGGATGATCAACTCTTGAATGCCTTGTGCGACCGCCTAAAGCCTGTTCTTTATACAGAAGGTAGCTGCATAATTCGTGAAGAGGATCCAGTAAATGAAATGCTGTTCATCATGAGAGGTAATCTCATGAGTATGACAACGAATGGTGGAAGAACTGGCTTCTTCAACTCTGATGTTTTGAAAGGTGGAGATTTCTGTGGCGAAGAGCTCCTGACCTGGGCTCTTGACCCCACGTCAGTTTCCAGCCTCCCTAGCTCAACCAGGACAGTGAAGACGATGTCCGAAGTCGAAGCTTTTGCCCTGAGGGCTGAAGACTTGAAGTTTGTGGCCACCCAGTTCCGACGGCTACACAGCAAACAGCTCCAGCACACGTTTAAGTTCTACTCGCAGCATTGGAGAACCTGGGCAGCCTGTTTCATACAAGCAGCCTGGCATAGGTACTGCAGAAAGAAGATCGAAGACTCTCTACGCGAGAAGGAGAAGAGGTTGCAGTTCGCAATCGTTAATGACGGTGCTACAACTCTCAGCTTCAGGGCAGCGATATATGCTTCGCGTTTCGCTGGCAACATGATGCGGATCTTGAGGAGAAATGCCACCCGCAAGGCTCGGTTGAAGGAAAGTGTGCCTGCAAGGTTGTTACAAAAACCAGCAGAACCCAACTTTGCTGCAGAAGAGCAGTAGTTCTGTTTACCACGAATGCGTAAGGAATTTTTTGTGCATGGCTTGTGCATTTTTTACTTGCTGATGTTTTTGCTTTCAGTTGACACTAGACCTACAAATTAAGGAGAGGAAAAAATCGCAATAGGTGTCTGTATCTTTCTGTAAGATCTGTATATGTGTTCGTGTATGATAATAGGTGATACGTGTAATTATTATTCATCAGGTGTTTATATACAAATTGTGTTTATAGTAGTGTAGTGAGCATTCCATCCCGTGTTCCCATCAGGCTCTTGAAGTCCAGGCACGGAGCAAGATCACATTGTAACGGAGACACTTGTTTTAACTCACATATATTGACATGATATAGAATTAATGGATTGTTAAAGATTTGTCAACCACTCATTTTAGACAAAAGAAAAAAAAAAGAAAGTGTCCCTGTTTTATTCCGGCACAGTCTAGCGTGCACTGCTGGTTTCCTTGTGTGAAGTCATAAAGCAATGCATGTTCTAGCCGCTGGAAGCCTGGTATCCTTGTCTTGATACCCCTTTGTACTTTATTAATCAGTTATCAACGTGTACCATGCGTTTTCCATACGGTGGGTTTTATCCATAGTAGGTAGCTACTGTAGAACTTGTCACGCCTGTGTGACGGGTTACAGTGAGCGCAAGAGGTTGTCGATGTGCTGGGCCTGCGAGCCCATGAAAGTCTGGCCTGTGAGCCCATCTAAGAGAGACTATAATGTGGGAAGGAGTATTGTAAACGTTATCGAATAGCTGAAATCAAGAATACGTCTCTTCCTCAACTACTCTATTTCTGTCTTCTTCTTCTACCTCTGTCTCGTGCTGTCTTCTTCCCCAAACTCTCTTCCTCATTTCTCAATCTGGATCGAATCTGGTAAATCAGAGGCGAAGGCGGCGGCGACTTGTTACAGTGGTATCAGATTCAGGCTGTTCGTGGTTGCATTGTTCTCATATTCTCTCGATCCGGCTGGTAAAATCCCTGTGTTCCGGTTGACGGCTACCCTTGGGTGAGGCCGTGTCGGAGGGTGAACTCCGCAAGTGGAGGGCAGTGAGGTCCCCCTTATTGGTTTGGCCGGGAAAAGTGGGTGAGATTCGAGGACTCGGTGAGAAAGGCGGTGTAGAGGGGGTCGGGCCCCTCAAGAATGATGAGACAAAAGGGGTTTATACAGGTTTGGGCTGTTGAAAAGCGTAATACCTTACTCCCGTGCTTAGCTGATTGAGTGAGGAATTACAAAATCTCCTAGTTGGAGTAGAAGGTGTTGATGGTGAGGGGCAGGAGACTCCTCTAGTGAAAAGGGCCCATCTCCTTCCTAAGTAGGCCTGGAACTCCTTTTATATCTCAAGGGATACCACATGGGCCCACCTAGCCTATTCAGGGAGGATAACCACATTAAATGCATGTCTTGTTACTTGCCTTGGAAGTCTCTTGCACGCCTTGCTGCAGCGTGGGGCTTGCCAAATCTGTCCGGCTGACACGGGGGACACGCACGTCATAATGAGTGAAGACTTTCGGGTCCTCACCTGCGCCGGGAAACGGGAACCCTACCCTGACCGGGTTAGGCAAGTCGTCTCCGGTTGTGATAAGAGGCTAAGCAGCCTCTCATCATCACGACGTGACAGGGGGTGTCAGGCGACACGCCGCCTGATATGCAACCAGTGCACAGGCGCACTACCCTAACCACATCGGTCATAGATCGGTCACAGACCGGTCATAGTCCGGTAGGCCCACCGCGCCACATTTAATGCGGCGTGGTGCGCTTGCTCAGACTGCCTTAAATGCGGTTAGGTGGGTGCTGGGGACGCCCACCTAACCCAGCACACGTGGCACCGCGCGGAAGGGGTTAGGATAGCCCGACCCCCAGGCATGGAGGGGGTGGCCGCCGCCCTGCCTTAGGCCCGACCGCCCCTGGGGGGAGGGCCACGTGGCTACCGGGGGCAGCCTCCTCCCTATGGTGCTAATATCCCCGGGCCCATATCACCGACAGGCTGATGTAAGTCCAGTTCTGGTTCGGCTGGATTTGGAGGAGACAAGCATCACGGCGCCGATCAAACTCAGTGCTCCGTTGCGCCAGTCCTTGGAGACCAGGGAGACGAAGATTCTGGAGTGGCTGGATGCGCTTACGTCGCAGCTGGAGACACTTGATTCGCCTCTGTAGAAGCAGGGTGGTCGCCTGGATCAGGTGGTCACTAAGGTTGATCTCGCGATGGATTTGGTCGGGAAGTTGCGGCAGGAGCAGCTGCAAGCGGTGTGCCTTCAGAAACACCTGTCTTCGCTGTCATCATCCTTGGGCTCAGGCGATCTTGTGAGTATTCTTGGTTCTTCTTCTGGGGTCTCGCGTTCGGGCGCTGGTGCACCACCAACACCACCACTACCGCCACCACCACCACCTCCTCGATTTGGTTCCCACGCACACTATTGGGTTGACGGCGAGGGCCATCGAGCTCAGGATGGGGGGCGGGCTAAGTCGTATTTGCCGAAAATGGATTTTCTGCGTTTTGAGGGGCCGGATGTGCATATTTGGATTGATATGTGTGAGACTTATTTTAAGATGTACCAAATTTCTGCTACTTTTTGGGTGTCTGCTACTATTTTGCATATGTATGGCAATGCAGCGCAGTGGTATCAGTCTGTTAAACTGGTGGAGGATGTCAGTGATTGGGCTCATTTCCGTTATGTAGTCATTCATGAGTTTGAGGGCAACACGCACCGAGAGAAAACTTTAGCTCTGCGGTTGTTGACTCAAACTGGTACAGTGGCTGAATATAAGCAACAAATTGATTCACTTGTTTATCAGGTCAGACTGTTTGATCCTTCAGTGGGAGGCATGATGTTAGTATCTCGTTTCGTTTTGGGGCTTAAGCAGGAAGTTCGCAATGCGGTTTTGCTTCAGCTGTCACAAACTATTCAACAAGCTACTGCGGTGGCTTTGACTCAGGAAGGGCTGCTACTGGATTCTTCCCCTTCTATGAAGCGCTTGCCTGCTAAGAAATTTGTGCCAAAAGTGGAACGGCTAGTTGGGACTGAGACTTTGGGGCTGAAGCCTGAACAAGCTGAACCGTGGAAGGCTTGGCAATTGAGTGATTTTCGCAAGGATAATGGGTTATGTTTTTTTTAAGTGTGGTGAAAAGTACTCATCTGAGCACAAGTGTGCTGTGCTGGGCCAAATCAAAGCAATGCAGATTACTGAAATCATTCAAGATGCTTTGCTGAATGCAGTGATTGCTGAGGAAGAATCTGATCAAGTGGATGAATGTCATGTTTTGCTGAATGCACTGTCAGGTGCTCATCATCCTCGAGCCATTTCGATTGAGAGCTTTGGCGCATAGCAAAGTGTTGTTAATGTTGGTTGATTCTGGTAGTTATCATAGCTTTTTGGATCTGCACTTTGCTCAGCAGTTGGGATTACCTTTGTAATCTGTATCTCCTTCTATGGTCAGAGTAGCTAATGGGGATTTTCTCACTTGTCAATATATTGTACCTAACTTTACTTGGTGGATTCAAGGACACACTTTTGTTTTTGATATGAGAGTGGTTGAATTGGGTGGTCATGATGCTATTTTGGGCATGACTTGGTGATATGACTTGTAATTGGGCTTGGAAGACTTTGAAATTTCATTATCAAGGTAGCTAGATTTCATTGCAGGGTGTGGTAGATTCTGCAATCACAACTGAACTCCAGTCAGTTTCTCTCCTTCAGATTCTGAAGTGGCAGAAAGGTTGTGATATATGGGCTGCTGCAATGTTGCAGCACTCTTCTCCTAGTCTTGCACATCCACTTCCCTCTTCTGTTAATCAGTTACTCTTGGAATTTCATGACATTTTTTAGGAACCAACTGTATTGCCTCCACACAAAGTGTATTACCATTCCATCTCCTTGTTGCCTGATGCTGCACCGGTTAACAGCAAGCCTTACAGGTATTCTCCTCTCTAGAAAGATGAGATTGAAAGACAAGTGAAAGAAATGATTGATTCTGGCTTGGTGACACCGAGCATGAGCCCTTTTGCTTCACCTGTGTTGTTGGTTAAGAAGAAAGATGGGACTTGGTGCTTTTGTGTTGATTACCGCAAACTGAATGCTATTACCATTAAGAGCAAGTTCCCTATGCCCATTGTGGATGAGTTGTTGGATAAACTTGCTGGTACACAATAATTTTTCTAAGTTGAACCTTAAGGCTGGATCATCATATCAGAATGGTGGAAGTGGATGAGCCTAAAATTGCCTTTAAGACACATCACGACCAGTTTCAGTTTCGTGTTATGCCTTTTGGTCTTACTAATGCTCCATCAACTTTTCAGTGCTTAATGAACTCAGTTTTTACCCCTTTCATTAGGAAGTTTGTTCTTGTTTTCATGGACGACATCTTAGTCTATAGCCCAGATTTGTAGACTCATTTAGCTCATTTGCAGCAAGTCTTCTTGGTGCTGAGGCAACACAAATTGTATGCTAAACAATCTAAATGCTCCTTTGCTTGCTCTCAGCTGGAATATTTGGGCCATATCATTTCTGTTAAAGGGGTGGGCACTGATCTTGAGAAAACTGCAACAATGGTGGCTTGGCCTGTTCCAACTTCTCTTATTGCTTTGAGGGGTTTCTTGGACTGACTGGTTATTATAGGAAGTTTATGAAGAATTATAGTATTTTTGTTCGACCCTTGACAACCTTGTTGAAGAAAAAAGCTTTTGTTTGGACTGATGCAGCACAGCTGGCTTTTGACCAACTGAAACAAGCTATGACCACTACCCCTGTGTTGGCATTACCAGATTTTAGTCGTCCCTTTGTGCTTGAGACTGATGCTTGCTTATGGCATTGGGGCTGTTTTGAGTCAGCATGGTCATCCTGTGGCTTATTACAACAAGACTTTAGGCCCAACGAATCAGAAACTCTCTATTTATGAAAAATAATTTTGGCCATTATGATGGCTGTTGATAATTGGAGATGTTATTTGCAGCATTGTCCATTTACAATTCGCCACGCTCACGCCGCCGCCGCCCTAACTTTCCCCACCACCATGGCAGCCACCGCGCACGCCGACTCTCTCTCCTTCCTCCTCTCCCACCCCCACTCCACTTCCCCCTCCGCGCTGCCTGCCCCGCCGCACATCGCATTCGCTGCGCCACCGACAATGCCGCCATCAAGCACCGTCGCGCGGCCGATGAGAACATCTGCAAGGAGGCTACACGGCATCGTGCCCTTCTCTGCATGGTACGCGCCGTTCCCTCTAGCTCCCAATGGCGACCCCAACAACCCCTATGCCATGCGCTGCTCTTCCGTCCCATCGCTGACGTCTGGTGCGCATCCACGAGGGACACCTCCGCCGCACTCTCGGCGTACTGAGTCGCCGCGGGAATCCCGGTCATTGTGTTTCTCCCTGCTGGCGGCGAGGCGGCGGCGGAGCTCGGCTGGGCTCGTTGGCTGCCTCTTCCCTCTCTATCGCCACCGGCCCTAGAATAACTGAAGAGAAGAGAAGAGAAGGGAAGAGAAGAGGATAAGAAAGAGGAGAGAAGAATTGACAATAAAGAAAATATGAGGGTCCCACTTTTTTTTTTCACTTACATGTGGGTGCCATAATTTTTTTATTTTTTATTTTGCTGACTAGGATACTATGTCAGCAAAACTAGAGATTCATATTAGTGTAGGACTGAAAGTGCACGGTTTTATATAGTTTAGGGTGAAGATTTTTGTATTAGAGATTAGGGATGTTATACAAACTCGACGTAAATTTTGTGGGTCGGCTGGTGAATTTATTCTTTTTTCGTGAACGTGATTAAAAGAAACAGCGGCACTGCAGCTTTATCATCTAGGCCCATGAAGATTTTGTCCCATGTCCAATTATTCGTAAGCCCATAAAACACCATGAACCTTCTAGAAGTTGAAACTATCTGTAAAATCGATTTCAGGGACCAAACTCTAGCTTCCTATTGGGCCAGGTGGATCTCTTTAAATTTGGCAATGCCCCCTCCAGGAATCTGCCACGTGTCCATTTAGAGGAAACAGCCTAGACGTTTCACCGTGAAATGAAAAAAAGAACAGAAAGAAAAGGTGCATTGGCGTGTACAGCCCAGTCACCCATGCCTGCCCTGGGACCTGGTGATCTGGCGCCGTTGCTACAACACAAGAAATTGCCTTCTCAAGCTAATGGGCACACAGAACCAAGCATAAATAGGATAAACAAAAGTAAAGAAATAACAAAGAGAAAAATATAAATAATTTTGCAAAATTTATCTGAAAAAATAAAATACATTATGGTTAAAACCGAAAATTGAGTCATATTGATATCCTATATTTCTACAAAATAAATAATAAAAAAACTAAATAATAGAAATATGGTGAAAGATTGAATGAAAATTTGCAATACTAAGAAATAATATTCTTCGAATGTGCATTTTATTATGGATACCGTATGCACAATTTTTTGGTTAATAAAATTGCCACAATTTTGAGGAAACATTAAGTTTTTTTCTAATAGCATCTCTAATCATTTGTCTAATTAGTTGCATACACTAATTACATGATACTTTGGTTTTCCTCATTTATCTGGGACAAACATTAAATTAAATTCCATTCGTCTGGGACAAACACAAAATTAAATTCCATTCTTTTGAAAGATTTTTTTAAGGGTGTTAAACTAACTCGTGTAAACATATATTACTTCATCAGTTCCAACTTACTGGTCATTCCCACATTTCAATTTTTAGATCATGATCCCCTATCTCCACCTTTCATCAATGCCACATATATCCAGTAATCAAAGTTAACATAACTACTATTAGAATGTACTAAATGAGCATGATAAGGTAATTTGCCGCATCCCCTCATCTGACACGAAATTTGGTAGAGTGATAAATAATCTAAAATAAGAGGTACGTAAATTTTATATATTCCATATGAGCTCTAAATAAGATTATACATATATCGGCGCGTCAAATGCAGATTTTCTAGTTTTTTACTACTAGAAGAATATCTGCGCGTTGCAACGGGTGAAAGTTATAAGCTGTGGTTAGGAGCTTGATCATCTCAAATTAGCATGCGAGTTTTTTTAAAGAGATTCATTATACGGCTTCTTCTGTATTTCAAAAAAGAATGAATTTAAAAACCGACTCAAATACAGACATGTATTTTCAAAAGCAAACGAATTTAAAAACTGCGGATGGCGTACCAAAGTACCAACGAAAACATTTTTCATACACAGATGATGTAGCAAAGTACCGACAAAAATATCTTTAATTTTTATAATATTAGAGAAGAGATTTGATAGGTTGGTCAATCAAGTTGTAGTTACTTTGAAATTTACTAAAAATATAAATGAACCCACGATTAGGACCTAGCCGTGAAGCAAAGCGGGGGACCGTTGGCACACCTTTCCGTCCTCCGCTTTCCATCTCCACCTCCACCGCACTACCAGTACCACCACGTACGTCCACCACCACCTCCACCTCCGCCGTGCGGACGCCGCCGGCTTCCCAATCCCAGCCGCGACGCGGAGGAGGACCAAATTCCTCCCCCACCCCTCCGTCAAATCTGCGCGCACCACCTCCGAGGTAAGCCTCTGCGCTCCCCTGCTCCGGCCTCGGGTTCTCCCTCCACAGCCAGCCGAGCGGGCAAGGCGCCGCCTTAGGCCGCTATTAATTTGTTACTGATTCTTCGCTAATCGCTACGATGCCCTGCTTGCTTTCTCATTTTGTGGTCTCGTGTGTCTAGACTCTAGAATAGGTAGCGCGGCGTCAGCAGGTTTGGGGGTTCGGTTTGCGGCTGCGGAGTTTTCTGCCTTTCAGGCAAAGCCATGGTTATAACCAGGGTTCAAATTTTCGGTTTGGCCGATTCTATCGGAGGTCACCGAAATTTCCAAAATTTTGAACAAATGTTGGTTAAATTTGAACAAAATATTACCAAATTCATAAAAAATTTAGAAATTTCGGTCAAAATATTTTCGTATCGTATCGGGAGGGTCCGAATTGACCGAAATTCCGGAATTTTGAACCCTGGTTATAACTGGGTGGGTTAATCTTCAGGGAGGCTTGATTTAGAATTTCTTTAGTTTACAAAGAATAAAGGCTTGTCAAATGTTTTGTGTCAAAACTTATAGTAACAAGTTTAGGACATGAAACATGGAGAGAGTTTGATGATTTCTAAAGAGCAATGGTAATTCGGTGGTTCTACACTAGTGTGGTGGATGTGATCCAAGCTGTCAATAATGAGGCCACACTTTGGTAGTTTGGTCTTTGGCGGGAGCTTTGAAACTCCAAAAGCTGTTGTCTAAGTAGTTCTTGCGTCCTAGAGAGGTCGGCTTGAGTTTCTTCAGTTTTTGAGTGGGTGTGTGTTGTGTTCTGTAAGACTTTCGGTGGGTGGGTGTCAGGGTTTGTTTAAATCTTGCATCCCTTGCATTTCTTTCTCTCTCTTAATGAAATGATATGCATATCTCTTGCGTGTTCGAAAAAAAAAAATCAGTGCTTCTACTTTCATCACATGATGGTTTTGGACATTTTGGCCTCTGAGAGACCCTGGCATGGATTGACTTGTTGGAACGATTGCTACTGCTCATTTCCTTGTCTTTTGCAGCATATAAACATGAATGCAATAATTTCTCTCCAATTTTTCCAAAATAGAAATCTAGCTTCGGTTCAAGATCAGCAAGAAGTCTGACATATAAATGTATGGAAATGACAGCACCAGTATCTGATTAAATTTTTGAGTAAATAATGAAGACTGCTGGTAAAAATATCGTAGTTGAAGTAAGAGAGAAGAGAGAAGAGAGAAAAAAAGTTTGGGTCTCTAGGGACCTGATCAATGAATATTAAAGTCCTGGGATCCATTAAAGTTTTGAGTAAATATTGAAAACAACTACTGAAAACTCGATGTAATAATTATTCTGTATTTTTTTAACCATGTATGCAGATTTGAGGACTGGAGATCCAAGCAGTCTGTTATGTCACTGCGGAGGCATAATGCTTTAAGTTCACTTAAGGAAAGAACTGCTGGAATTTTTGCATTCCTAGGAAACCTTGTGCATTCTGAAACCTTAGAGAGATCGGTGCTGCATGAAATGAAGTTGACAACTGGAACTCTTCATCCTCAGGGACCATTTCTGCAAAGCTGGAACAAGATATTTGTTTTGTCATGTATCTTTGCAGTTTCTGTGGATCCATTGTTCTTCTATATCCCGGTTATCAATGAAAACAATACATGCTGGTATTTGGATAAAAAGTTGGAAATCACAGCAAGTGTCCTGCGCTTTTTCACAGATATCTTCTATATACTCCATATCATATTTCAGTTCAGGACAGGCTATATCGCGTCTTCTCCTACAACTTTTGATCGGGGTGTCTTGGTTGAGGATAGATATGCAATAGCAAAGCGATACTTGTCAACATATTTTCTGATTGATGTCTTTGCTGTTCTACCCCTCCCTCAGGTACTCGGCATGGCATGTACTTAGTTAAGCTTAGTATGGAGCTATTTTATAGTATAGTTCACATGATCCTTTAGAATTATGATGGAGTGGATGCACCTTTGATAGTCTCTACATGATAAAAATAATAGATATTCACCTCTTTTATGATTTATAATGATATAATGGAATTCACATGTTGGAATTATGGGTTGATTAGTGAGGATGCACTTTTGGTAGATACCACATTATGAAAATAAAAGATTTTGGTTTTGGCCTGTTTCAAGAGTGACACTGATACATGCAATCCATATGTTAGAAAAATGGGGTCATATACAAAGAGCTTTGTCTGTTTCTTCTATGAATTTGCAGTCTTAATAGTGCACTAAGTTATGCGCCTTTGATTTCTCAGTCAAGCTTGTAAGCATGGTCAATTTTGTTACCAGGTGGTTATTTTGGTTGTGCTACCTAATCTTCGAAGCTCAGAGGTTGCAAAAGCCAAAAATATCTTGATGTTTATAGTTCTATGCCAATATGTGCCTCGACTGATCAGAATAAGACCACTGTATCTCCAAATCACAAGGTCTGCTGGGGTAATTACAGAGACACCATGGCCTGGTGCTGTTTTGATCCTTTTAATTTACTTGCTCGCCAGTCATGTAAGTATTCTATTCAATAACTCTGGATAGTCAACAATGCCAAATAAATTGTCCTTTGCCAGAGCAATATTTAACTGCAATAGTGAAAAGCTGAAAACATGATCAATTTCCTGTAAAGATTAAATGAATTTATTATTGATCAAAATAAATTCGGCTAACTTGGTTTGAGGTGTGGTATGGGCGTAGTCTCATCTTTTTCTTTTTTGGCCAAACCAGAGCCATAAACACCTCGTCTTGTGGTTTTCATCAGCAAAGTTGTCTAAATTTGTATACAGAAAGCAATGGTGTAACCTTTAAAAGTTTTTTTTTTTTACTTAAAGTTACAGAAATCTTAGAAGGAAAATGATTTTGTCCAACATTTTCTCTGCGAAAGAAACAGAATTTTAGTTTGTCCAATCTGAAATACACTCTAATAGTAACAATATAAATTATTACTTTATATCAGCTATCATGTAACAAATATTTTCAATGAAGTTTGATGCTTAGTGCTTAGTAGTTCATCCTTTTTCTTGTGGGTCAATTCTCAAGAGATATTCTATCACATATACACCAATTTCAGTGTCATCAATGCATATTTGCAACAATCTTGTCCACTTTTTCTATGATTATATATTTCCATGCTTTATTGGCTCTATCTGTTTCCTAATGGGTGTCATTTATGAAGTCATAACAGTCAAGATTTACAAAATAAAAGTCTTTATATTGGTAAGAAAATAATATGTATGGATTTTGTTTTCTGTAAAAAAAATGGCTATAATATCCTTATAGGTGACAACACTTTGGTCTCTCAAGTTTTGCTTGAGGCTCCTGTTGGGCTCTGATGTATCATCCAGATGTGTGTGTCCTCAAATTTTCCTCATTAAAAATTAAAATTGGATCCACCGAGAGCAGCGCCTGTACAGGACTTGTCGGTGTTGACTCTTGACCTCTTGACTTGGCCAACTTGTTTGATATGCGTGTCCTTGTGGTGCTCCAACTGGTTTTAAGGAGTAAAGACAATCTTGACCCATAGTCGGAAAACTTTGAGGACTGGGTGGATAAATTGGAATGTCACGGACAATCACAACCAAGGAATGGCCTATGGAAACTTGACTTCATACTACTAAATTGGCAAATAATTAAAATGTTAGTGGCCCCAGCAACCATCTAGTTGACTTCATTCATAAGTGGGATACTTTTGCAACTGCAGTGCCACTAAATTGGATATAATTAAATATTTCTGTGCACCTTATATATTTATGAAAAATCTTTTAACTGCTGCAGGTCCTTGGAGCACTCTGGTACTTGCTTTCCATTGAACGCAAAGATGCCTGCTGGAGAGACGTGTGTCGTAATAATAGTACAGGCTGTAATCAGGCATACTTGTACTGTGGGGATAAGGAAAACATATTCTTACAGACTGCTTGCCTTCCAATCAACTCAAACAATATAGATCCGAACTTTGGAATTTATGTGCCGGCTCTAAATAATGTCTCACAATCAACTGATTTTTTGGCAAAACTATTCTATTGTGTTTGTTGGGGTCTGCAAAATCTTAGGTCCGTGCAAAACTGAAACATTTAAAATATTTTCTGCTTGAGCTAATAAACTTCTGTATGCCACATATATTTATGTGTTGGTCTATTTAATGCAGCTCTCGGGGCCAAAACCTTAAGACAAGCACTTACGCATGGGAGAATCTGTTTGCACTTTTTGTCTCAATATCAGGCTTGGTTCTGTTTGCACTGCTAATTGCTAATGTGCAGGTAAACATATTTAGCATCATTGGCTATGAATTTTACAAGTCATTTTCTTGATTTACGTTATTATTCAAGCTTTTCATAATAGAACTTGCATAGCAAATCAGAAATATGCTAAAATTTTAAGTGTGTTATGAGTCTAATGCCTACATAATCAATTGAAGAGAACATGAATGCTATCTACTGCTGCTAAAGATATATCCTAGAATAACAGAGAATATTTTTATGAGTGAATTATGGAAAACTGAACTATAGTTAATCAAATTAATTATGAGAAAAATGAGTCCAACTTATTTTATCTCCTAGGGATATGAAACTAAAGATATGGAACCTTGTGCCAGATTCAGTCCAATACCATTTTGAGATACGACTAGCATAATCTTGGTAGGAATAAGATCATCAAACCTTATTTGCAACACTTGTCTTTGTACAAAATGGTTCAGGTCTTCTACTACAAAGAATGTTTAACAGGATCCCTGACATTGATTGAAATTATGTGTTTTTGCTGAATGATGATAAATGCGTAATTTTGGTAGCTAACTCATGCTTCCATTTTTTGTGAGTTTTACAGACCTATTTGAAGTCAGCCCATTTGAGAGAAGAAGAAATGAGAGTGAAAAGCCGTGATACAGATCAATGGATGTCATATCGACTGCTTCCTGAGAATCTCAAGGAACGAATACGGCGTCATGAAAAATATAGATGGCACCAGACGAGCGGGGTTGACGAAGAACTCTTGCTTATGAACCTCCCCAAGGATCTTAGAAGGGCTATAAAACGGCATCTTTGCTTATCACTTCTTATGAGGGTATGTTCTCACATGCTTCTTTTGCAGAGTAACCTGCTGTACTAATCTTATTTTTGTGGCTTATCCAATTTCAGAAAATAAGTTGGTTAAGTAAATAATTTGGCCATTTTCACGTAGCTCAGCCAAACCCAGTTACAGTAGCGGACCCAAGAAATACGAACTGAGATTTGGCTGAGCACCACTTGTTTTCTATTTATTGTAGCATAATATTTTCAGTCCGTGCAGCTCATCATGCTATATTGTTTAAAACCGGAATTGCATTTTCCTCACAATTGTTGATAACATCAAAGTATCCTGGTTGTTCAAGAATGACAAATACCATGTTCCAAAAGGCACATAAATGAAAGCTAAAGGCTTCTTTTACCGCTTATGTGTTGCAAGGTCTCATTTTTTTTTCTCTCTGAGCCTAAGCCAATTACCTCTTTTTTTAGATAATGGAATAAAACATCCCGGCGTTTGCTCATCAGAGTTACAGCCAATTATTACAAAAGTAACACCCAAACACTGAGTGTAGAGTAACACTCAAACACTGAGTGTAGTTCAAATGAATATGTACAATAGAAGCACACAATTCATGCCAATATGCAATATTCTCACCAACTAATGATCTCCTAAAGGAAACATTGAGTATAATAGATCTCATAACATTAGCAATAGTAGAACTTTTCCTTCGGACAATAGAGTATAAAGATGGATATTTGTCTTTAAAAGCCAGGTTTCCTTGCCATTTATCTTCCCAGAACCTTATTTGTTTTCCATTATTTACAATCTAAGAACCCATATCTAAGAAGTTATCTTTGACCTTCATGAGACCTGACCAAAAATGAGAATCGTCCTGTTTCTTATTAACTTGGCTTATAGACTGATTGTAGAGATACTTTCTCTTCAATAGATTTTGCCATACACCTTCCTCGTTAATCAACTTAAGCAACCACTTACTCAAGAGACACTTGTTTTGTATTTCCAAGTTATGAACCCCTAAACCTTCCTGATCCTTAGGTTGACAAATGATATCCCATCTAGTAAGTCTGTACTTTTTTTTATGGTCATCCCCTTGCCAAAAGAACCGTGATCTATAATAATCAATTTTTTGAAGAACCCCTTTCGGTATCTCAAAAAAAAATATCATAAACATAGTTAAACTTGAAAGTACAGAGTTAATCAAAACCAGTCTACCCCCAACAGATAAATGTTTTCCTTTCCAACTACTAAGTTTTTTTTTCTCAATTCTTTGCTCAATCATTTTCCAATCTCTATTATTCAGTTTTCTAAAATGCATTGGTACACCAAGATATTTAACTGGGAGAGAGCCAAACTTACAACCAAAGATGTTAGAATACTCATCATAATATTCCTTTGCCTGACCAAAACAAAATAATTCACTCTTATGAAAATTTATTTTTAAGCCAGACAACTTTTCAAACACAGATAAAATCAATTTAAGATTCTTCGCTTGTTGTAAGTCATGTTCCAAAAAAATGATAGTATCATCTGCATACTGTAAAATAGATAAACCATCATCCACTAGGTGAGGGACTACCCCATTCAATGAACCAACATCTTTAGCCCTCTTAATTAATAAAGTAAGCATATATGCTACTATATTAAAAATAATTGGAGATAAAGGATCTCCTTGCCTTAGACCTTTGTAAGTTTGAAAATTATTACCGGTCTAATTATTTACCCTAATACCAACATGTCCCCCTTGAATAAAAGAAGATATCCACTCACACCATTTAGGAGAGAAACCTTTCATTCTGAGCGTCTATTTTACAAAAGACCATTTAACCTTGTCATAGGCTTTTTCAAAATCGATCTTAAAAATCACAACACTTTTATTTTTGCGATGTAATTCGTGCATAGTTTCATGCAAAATAACAACACCTTCCATAATATTTCTCCCAGGTATAAAAGCAGTTTGAGTAGGGATAATCACCTTTTGAGCAACACTCATTATTCTATTCGTAGCAACTTTGGTAAAGATCTTAAAACTAACATTAAGTAAGCAGATAGGCCTATATTGTTAAATGGTGAGAAACCTTTCATTCTGAGCGTCTATTTTACAAAAGACCATTTAACCTTGTCATAGGCTTTTTCAAAATCGATCTTAAAAATCACAACACTTTTATTTTTGCGATGTAATTCGTGCATAGTTTCATGCAAAATAACAACACCTTCCATAATATTTCTCCCAGGTATAAAAGCAGTTTGAGTAGGGATAATCACCTTTTGAGCATCACTCATTATTCTATTCGTAGCAACTTTGGTAAAGATCTTAAACTAACATTAAGTAAGCAGATAGGCCTATATTGTTGAATTTTCATGGCCTCAGCACACTTAGGCAAAAGAATAATATAGTACCAAAGTTAAGGGAGAATAAAGGCAAAGTACCATTATGAAAATCTCTGAAAATATCCAATATATCATCCTTAATGACATCCCAAAAGACCTGATAAAACTCAGCAGAAAATCCATCAGGACCCGGAGCTTTATTATGTTCCATTTGAAAAATAGCCTCTTTAATTTCCTTTCCAGTGAATTCTTGTATTAAAGCTTCATTCTCCAATTGAGATACTTGTGGGATGTCCACAAAATTATTTTCATCAAACTAGAGATCAGAATCATCAGGAGGACCAAAGAGGCCTTTATAATAAGTGGTAATATGCGATTTTAGATTTGCATCACCATTTATCAATTGATCCCCATCTTGAAGTTGAAAAATTCTGGTTTTTCTATGTTTGCCGTTAGCAACCAAATGAAAATACTTTGTATTTGAATCACCCTCTAAAATATCCTTAGTTTTAGCCCTTTGATACCACTTAATTTCTTCTTCTCTCAGAAGAGTAAGCCAATTACCTCTAAAATGGTGAAGTAGGTCTTCCAATAGTCGTGTGCTTTAGGTGCACACCAGTAATATAGCTTGAAATGTTCAGTGCATGAAATGTGTTTGAGGTACTTATGTAGAAACTGGAAAATTAAGTCATGTAAAACCGTTGATGTACTAGTAATGGGTCATCTTTTCACATTTTAAGGTTCTGGGTTCAGACATTATGTTCAGAAAGCATTACCAAACTGGGAAGCGGTGGGAAGGGTGAAAAGGACGACGGCCATTGGGGTTTACATGGTGAATCGGAAATCAGCTCCATCATCCAACTTCTGTAGTTTCTATGCATCTGAAATGCTCTTCATTTACGCTTATAGGCATCTTTTTTCACAGCATTGGATTTAGTAGCAGCATAGCAAGTCACCAGTTTGGCTGTGGCTTTTGAAGGTCACGTGTTTATTTCTTTTTTTTTTTGGATGTATAAAATTTTGTTGGAGCTATAACGGCAAAATCTTACTGGAATTAGTAAATAACTCCTCTAACTAACTAGGAGTAAATTAAACAGGACAACAATGCCAAACGAAGCCATAATCTAGGGAGGTTCTTTGGGGACATGTTCCAGGGAAACCTTGAATCTGTTGCAGCAGTAACCGTTGTGTTAATATCTTATTTGTGTGAATGTAGATCATTTATCTCCCTGCTATGTATTTTACAATTCTGTTTTCTTTGCTTCAGGTTCCAATGTTTGAAAACATGGATGATCCGCTCTTGGATGCCTTGTGCGACCACCTAAAGCCTGTTCTATATACAGAAGGCAGCTGCATAATTCGTGAAGAGGATCCAGTATATGAAATGCTCTTCATCATGAGAGGTAATCTCATGAGTATGACAACTGATGGTGGAATAACCGGCTTCTTCAAATCTGATGTTTTGAAAGGTGGAGATTTCTGTGGCGAAGAGCTCCTGACCTGGGCTCTTGACCCCACATCAGTTTCCAGGCTCCCTAGCTCAACCAGGACAGTGGAGACAATGTCCGAAGTCGAAGCTTTTGCCCTGACGGCTGAAGACTTGAAGTTTGTGGCCACCCAGTTCCGACGGCTCTACCGCAAACAGCTCCGGCACACGTTTAGGGCCCCTTTGAATTGTAGTAGCGAAATAGTGGAGGAACAGGAAAACACATTATTCTGACAGAAATGTAAGTGTAAAACAGATGATTGCAAAACACATGAATAATTGTTTGATTGGGCCACAGAGAAAACATAGGAATCGGATGACTTTTCCTGGACCTCTTGCTAAATTTCCTTTAAAACCTATATGTAATGAGCTATTCCATTGAAATTGTATAGGATTTAGAAAATTCCAATCCTTTGAATCAAAGGGCCAAATAGGAAAATTTTCTATAGGATTTCAATCTTATGAAATCCCTTCATAAATCCTTTGATTCAAAGGGGGCTTTTAAGGCTTATTCAGTTTGGAGGAATTTGAATCCATAGGAATAGGAAAAGTGGAGGAATAACAATGTTAACATACATTAATCCATAGGAATTTTTTCAAGAGGTTTGAGCGGATGGAAAAATTCATGTTTCCTCTGTATAATTTGTAGGAGAGGAAATTTTCCTTTGGTTTTCCTATACTTCAATCCTACAAACTGAATGACACTCATAGTAATTAATCATTAGAAATCGAAATCCTCTGTTTTTCCTCCAAAACGGACGAGCCCTTAAGTTCTACTCGCAGCCTGTTTCATACAAGCAGCCTGGCATAGGTACTGCAGAAAGAAGATCGAAGACTCTCTACGCGAGAAGGAGAAGAGGTTGCAGTTCGCAATCGTTAATGACGGTGCTACAACTCTCAGCTTCAGGGCAGCAATATATGCTTCGCGTTTCACTGGCAACATGATGCGGATCTTGAGGAGAAATGCCACCCGCAAGGCCTGGCTGCAGGAAAGTGTGCCTGCAAGGTTGTTACAAAAACCAGCAGAACCCAACTTTGCTGCAGAAGAGCACTAGTTCTGTTTACCACGAATGCGTAAGGAAATTTTTGTGCATGGCTTGTGCACTTTTTACTTGCTGATATTTTTGCTTTCGGTTGACACTGACCTACAAATTGAGGAGAGGAAAAAAATCGCAATAGGTATCTCTCTGTAACACTGTATATGTGTTGGTGTATGATAATAGGTCCAATAATACTTTAGGGACATCTGTAGTTATATTAGTATTCTGTTAAACATGTAGCAGTTCAGTACAAGAATTATTCTGAATATATGGAATAATAAACAGAGTAGGCATATTTACTTATAACAGGGTATATTTACTTATAACTCAAGGGTCACCATATCAGGTAATCTAGAAGAGCATAATATCAGAATCTGAACCTTAGTAGTTGATCAGCATAACATTGCTAAGACCAATACCATAAAACACCATTATTTACCTGTGATTTCTGTAATCAGTATACTTTGACATCAAGATCAAGATTTATAATTTTTAGGACATTAAATCCCTTAAGTGATACTGTCATGATGCATCATGTATGAATGAAATCATATTAATCCTCTGGATTACTATTCAGCATGGCAACATAAGGATCTGATCATGTTAGTTTATTAGTATGTAGCAAATTTCAATATCTCTGATGGTCATTGCATAAGCATAATTAAGGATTTAATCATGCTAGTGTGATTTCTATTTTAGTAATGCAATTCATAGGTTTATTCATGTGAGCATTCATTCATCATGGGCATACTGGCATCATCCAATCTAGCAAATCAATTGATCTAGAACCCTAGAACTAGTAATTACAATCCATAGCATAGAGTCATTAAGTTGACCATTAGGATTAACCTAATGGTACACCACAATCATATATCAGTAGCACAAAAGGGAATAACATCTTACCAATATAAAACACTAGAAATCAGGAGAGGGGGGGGGGGGGGGGAGTACAGACCGGAGAGCACACTCATGGAGATAGGTCGGGGCCGCCGGAGTTGCGCGGTGCTTGGCACCGGCCATCTCCACGGCAGCCATGGCAATTGGAGAGGCAGGGCAACGGGTAGGGTTAGAGTTGGGATGAGAGAGAAAAAGAGGGAGGATAAGGGGAAAAGAAGAAGGAAGGAAGGAGAGAGGAGGCGGCGGCGGCACCCCGCCGGGCAGCCAGGCAGAGGCGGCGGCGACGCCCCCTACAATTGGGGCGCAGCGCCGCAGCCCTTGTGCGCCACAGCGCCATGGAGAGAAGAGAGCGAGAAAGAGAAAGGGAAAAACGAGATGAAGAGGAGAACGAGAATAAGAGAGAAGAGGAGGAAGGTGGGCTAGGTGGGTTATGCTTTGTTGGGCTTTTATTTGTGTGAGCTGTAGATGGTGGGAAATTAAAAAATTAAAAAGTAGAACATGGAATAAAAAGAAAATCATTATCTCTATCTCTACTATTATAAAAGTTTAAGATATTTTTTTGGGAGTTTTTTCGTTCGTCGTGAAAATTTATGTTCGATTTCTATTCGGCTTAGGCTTGACTTGTCCGTGGCACGCAGAATCCAGACGCGCGATGGAGATCGAAGGCAGATTTTGCTTCATGTCTTGACTCCCGATATCTCACGTCTCAGCGTCACCATCTTTTTTTTTTCGTCCGCTCTGTGTTCTGTCTCCGCCTCGTGTGTCGCATGGCCCACCGGACCGTGCATTTCCAGATCATTACCGATCATGTTTGCAGTTTGCATCGTCTTGCATGCGATGGAGAAAAGCATGGCGTCACTGATCATGCCGCATTGCTGCTGACTGCCAAGAATTGATTTGTCAGATGAGAGTTTCATGCATGCGTGCATGCAGCGTGCACTAAAGTTATAGCCATTAGTATGGAACTACTCCCTCCGGTTCCATGTTAATTGACGTTTTGGACAAGGTTAAGGTCAAACTTTTATAACTTTGAACATCAATAACTTTAAAAATATTTAGTTTAAAGAAATTAGAACAACATATATAGATTTGTCTTTTAAAATACTATAATAAAAATAAACATGCATTTATTTATTATATATATTATAATAGAAAAATAAGATTTGTCATTATCCAAAACGTCAATTAAAATAGAACTGGAGGGACTATAGTTTATGCAAAATGAGTTACACATCCCAAATTAAATTAAAGAAGAAATATTTCGGTCATTACTCCCAAATCTATATTTTCCGCTTCCTCGGAGCTAAATTTCATGTATCAAATTTGCATTCAGTATCCATCTATCTATACTTAATTAAAAAAATTCATAAGACTTCCGATGGAATTTTCGTCTGCTACTTGACTCTCATCATCTCGTGTCATCCCACATTGTGCCATCAATTGTTACACTACACCCGATTGAAATCTCTACTATTATAAAAATTGAAGATGTTTTTGCTGGTATTTTGATACGTCATTTGTATTTGAGTCGGTTTTTAAGTTCCTCCACTTTTGAAAATACAGATCCGTGTATGAGTCGTATTTTAAGTTCGTTTGCTTTTGAAAATACAACAGAAGTCATATAAAAAATTTCTTAAAAAAAACTTGCATGCTAACTTGATATGGAAGTCAGATTCCTAATTGCAGCTCATGATTTTATAAAAAAAAATCTAAGCGAATTCCCACCGTAAATTTTATCCTAGCTAAAACCGTACAACAATAATAAGATTAAAATAACATTCATCCGTTGCAACGCACGTGCATTTTTCTAGTAGAATACTTAAATTTGTTTAAAATCTTCAAAATAAGTTCTTGTGCCCAAAAACAAAATCTCAATCTCAATCTTAATCTCAATTCAAATACAAATCGGAATCATCACAAAATCCTAGAGAAAACACTACTGCAAGATCACAAGAACATATTTCATCAACAACAACGACTACACAAGAACATCACAGGCACAAAAACATAGACGCTGGAAGGGAAGGGTGCCGCCGTTGTCGTAGGGCCGCTGGGCCGCCGCTGCCTCCCCTCCCGCTGGATCCGGCCGAGGGGAGAGTGCTGTCCCTGCGCACCACCGTGGGAGGGGGAGGGGGAGGGGGAACGGCGCCGCCGCCGGTGGGGAAGGGGGAGCCTCCCCTCCCGCTGGATCCGGCGACGGGGAAGACGCCGCACACACCCGCCACCGTGGAAGGGGGAGGGGGAACGGCGCCGCCGCCTGTGGGGGAAGGGGAGCCTCCCCTCCGGCTGGATCCGGCAGCGGGGAGGACACCGCATCCGCCCGCCACCGTGTGAGGGGGAGGGGGAACGACGCCGCCGCCGGTGGGGGAGGAGGTGCGGCGCCGCCACGGCGAAGGGGGAGAGGCGCCGCTGTTGGGACACCGCGCCGCCGCTGCTTCCCCTCCCGCTGGATCCCGCGGAGGGGAGGGCGCTGCCCCTGCCCGCCGCCTCCCCTCCTGCCGCTTGCCGTAGCCAGCCACCGTGGGAGGGAGAGGGGAAGGGCGCCGCCACGGCGGAGGGGGAGGGGGAGCGGCGTCACCGTGGGAGGGGGGAGGAGGAGCGGTGCCGCCGCGGCGGAGGGGGAGAGGCGACGGCGTCGTTTTGAGAGAGAGAGGGGGAGAAAAAATGATTTTAGGGTTAGGGTTTAGCTGACGACCTTTTATATAGGTTTGGATCAATCTGGAGCAACGATTAGATCGGACGGCTGTGGCTGCTCCCGCATCGGGCTGCGATTCCCAGGCCGCCACACAATTGGACCGTCTCATGGACCGCGTGTATGCTCCGCACGGAATACGTTCAGTTTAGGTCCCTTAAGGCTGTTATTTCCTTCTAAGACTACTAATAAGACTACCAAACGGTACATTTTTCGCAAAAATTATCTATATGAAAGTTGTTTTAGAAAACATATTAATCTATTGTTTACTAATACTTAATTAATTATAGATTAATAAACTGCCACGTTTTATGTAACAGTACTCTCTAAGAAAATAAAAATGGCTAATCTCTATCTATACTTATATACTTCAAAAATTTGAAAATGTTTCCATCATCCGTCTAAAATTAAAAAAAGAGCGAAAAAATTCGATTGTATGTAAAAAGAAAAAAGTCCGATTTCATAGTTTACACGTTATCTACCTCTAATCTAATATAATCTAACATTATATATACCTATACCTAATCTTCCGGTGAAATTTTCGTCCGTCCTCACCTATTTTTGTCCGCAACATCCCAAGTCCAACACACAACAAATCATATAGAGTCCGCATCAAATAGTACTTCACTTTCAGTTACCCAGAAGAGAACTAACGAGAAATTTCAATTCGCAGGCTGAAAAATTAAGCTCTGAAAATTTCAATAAAATTCCAAAGAGTGTAATTGTAATTTAATTAGACAAATTTGTATAATTTAATTATACACCTACCAACTTAAAAAAATATCCAAATTTTTAAGGAAATTTGTATTTCAATTAATTACATAATGTAAATCTTTTTTAACTTTTTCTTAATTTTCTTGTCTTTACACTTCCCGTGCAAACGCACGGGCATTTTGCTAGTAGAATATTTAAATTTGTTTAAAATCTTCAAAATAAATTCTTGTGTATCTTGAAATATTATTGCAGTCACTGTTTATTCATTTTATGATTATACTCTGATCAGAGGTGTACATCTTTACCCACAAGACACGCCTTTACTCTGCATTCCATTGCAATTGGAACCCATCATAAAAAACGTGACATAACCCTTTACCCATCCTAGCCGTGAACAAAAGTACCGACCCAACCCTGCCTACGGCCGGTATCCCGGACAGGCAGGCCAGGATTGAGCCCCTAGCAACAGGATCTAGACCGGGTGCGCCACACACATAGGGGTGAGACCACCCGCTTACTAGTCCAGTGCCATGGCATCTCGACTAACGGACACCGGCCCGTGTAGCCTTCATTTGCCTAGACATCTCGATTACCGAGCCGCAGCTCGCATAGCCTTCATTTGCCTCAGAGATATCCATCGTCGCAACGACTTCATCCATCTCTCTCCGTGTCCTTTTGTTCAGGACTAGGCTGAGCACCGAATTAAGCCTTACCCACTAGATATGTGGTTAGTACGGTAGTGCTTTGCAACAGAGGCCCGAGCTTAATCCTTATATTGGCTAGGGTGCTACTTCCCACAACTGGCATGCACACAAACCCACCGGAAAACATGTTTTAGGGGTTTTGAAAGAGGAAGAGAGGGGTATGTCCAATTCCACAATAAGCCAACCATTCCATAGTGTCCAAGTGATATGAGAATTCCTAAAGTCTAAAGTTATAAAACCACCTAATGTTGCCTAATTAATCAGCGAAGCATCTACCTAAATTCATACTAGTGGAACCATGAATGGAGTGCCCACTAGTTAGGGTTTTGTTTTCCTAGGGTAAGCAAGGTGATAATAACAATTGCAATGATAAGGCTATAACAAGGATTAATAGGTAATGCTAAATAAAACAGTGATAGCGCGGGAATTTAAATAAAGTAGTAATGCAATAATTCAAATCAAAATAATTTTATAAACTGGGATTCAATATGCTCAAGGATGATGCGACTTGCCTTGTTCAGAGAGAACGGCCTTTCGAACCTTCGGCGACGACCATGAACCACGCTTTGGGAACCTTCGGAACGACGAAAGCTACGCGAAGCACACAAGAAAAGCTATAAGCCTATAAAGAAGCAATAACAATACATAAAAACAAAGCACATGGTTCTTTAGGTTATAACAAACATTAGGAGACTTGAACGGATCGATTGGGAGTTCGTATGACCAAGATATGATCATCCGAAGTTTAATGTTGTTACATGGAGATTTATGGATTATTGTAATTAGGTTTTGCAACTATAAAACAGTGTAAGCGCTAGCCTGGAAAAGACAGGAAGGCTGCATTGTTGACATGCGGACCCCACATGTCAACCTAAGAGACCACAGTAGACCGAGTACACAGAGACGGTCCACGGGTTGACGGAAGCGGACCCCGTGTGTCAACCGAGGCGAGTGGCCGACAAACGGACTCCACTAGACACCACGTGGGCTGCACACATGGAAACCACGCGGCTACCGAGCGGGCACACTAACAAGGTCACCACACACACACACAAATGACTACCAACACCGGTACATGAGTACCGGTGTCGACAACCGCACAACGGGCATGGCGACACCGAAAGGACGAGGACGGGGGCAGCGAGAGGACGGACCCTTACCACCACGCAACGAGGCGTGGGAACGACGACGGCGAACGGGCGCGGCAGAGACGGCTCGGGGACGACGAAGGCGAACGGTGAGGGAACGACTTCGGCGGCGATCCTTGGACGGAGGCGAGAGACGGCCAGCATAGGGCTTGACGACGCGGAGCCGAGGACGAAGACGACGACGGGGCTGCAGCGGCTCACTTGACGGACGTGGACGAGAACGACTTGACGGAGGATGGACGCCACGACGAGCGCAACCGGGAACGACAAGAGGACAACGACGACCGCGGCGAACGCCGGTGGGGAGGCAAGGACGACGTGGAACACGCTGCTGCGATGCCGACGACGGAGGCGGCGCCGCGAGATGACAAGCCGACGAGGAGGAACGGCCGACCGGAGGAGACGTCGACGAGGACGAACGATGACGACGACGAAGACCGGTGGGGTTCGGGAGGAGGGGAGGCGAGGCCGAGGACGATCTTGCCGCTGTGATGCCGAAGGTGATGGCGACGACGTCGGCCGGCGCACCGACGAGGAACAAAAGCCGGCCAGAGGATGGGAGGTACTACCCGCCGGCGAGGACACCACTCCAGAGAGCTTCGGGCGAGGAGATGGTGAGGCTGGGGAGGAGGACGACGCCGCGGAGCTGAGGGAGGCGACGGCACGGCCGACCGATGCTCAGGCGCGGCAGCAGAGGCGGCTGGTGGCGGTGCAGTGGCGGCAACGCCACTGGACGTCGACGAGGACGCACTTCCAGCGGTCACCGCGCGAAACAGAGGGCAGGCTGGGGGAGAGGAGGCGGCTGCGACGCCGAGGATGGCGACGGCACGGTCTACCGGTGCACGGGCGAGGAGGGGGAGGCGGCTGGAGGTGCGGCCACGGGGAGACGCGGGAGGAGGCTAAAACGAGAGAACGGAGGAAGAGGATTCCATTTTATAGGCGTGGGGAGGGAGCCGGCCACGGGAGGAGCGGGGAACGGCGGCGGAAAACTCGGCCGACGGCCATGGAAAGCGGCTGGGGAAGGCGCGGCCGTTCTGGACGGTTGAGAGCACGAATCAAGAGGGAAATAAAGAGGAAGGAAAGGGGATTAAAAGACCCCAATCAATTTTGGAATCCCATGCTTGAATCGCACGGATTTGAGGGAGGAAGAAGCTAGGGTTTTCACGGGAGGGAGAAGAGCCGAGCGGAAGGAAGGAGACGCGCGGTCAACGCGCGTGCGGCGCGTGTGAGGGCGCGGGCGAGCGTGGCTCGGCTTGGGCCAGGAGGCAGCCTAGGTGGAACGGGGCGGGGAGGCTTGGGCCGAGGTAGGCCGGGAGGAAGAAGGAGGGAGTTGGCCGGCCGGGAAGGAGGGAAGAAAGAAAAAGAGAGGGAGGGAGGAGAGACTTCGGCTGCGGGCCTAGGGAGAGAGAGAGGGGAAGACTTTGGGCTAGACTCGGCCCAAAGGAGGAAGGAGGATTATTTTTAGTTTTTCTTTTTAGTAAACTTTGTTAATTGTTGTTGTTGCTTAATAAATAATTCCGTTGCTATGAAAATTCAAGTAAAATTTGAGAGCTCCTTTTAGACCAAGGAGAATTTAACAAAAATTCTCCAGGCCACATTCGAATTTTTCTTGTACGTATTTTAGTGTTTGCCACTTCTTTTCGAATTTTAATTAATTCCATTATTCCTTTTAGAGGATGATTTTTACTTCGGGATGAATTTATCAGGACGTGACAATTAGGCGTCGCATATGCATCGCGCTGGCATCGACGTTCTTGTATTTAGTTTTGTTCCATTGTACTATTTCAGTTGGGTGTTTATCTTGGATTTCTTGAAGTTCTTCAATGATTTATTCGTTCTTCGATTTCGGGTGTCTCAGGCAAGTCCAACATCTTTGACCATCTCTTGTTATATTTTTGTAATTGCAATCTATATGTATCACTTTGCATTAAATTATACTTTCTATAATTAAAATCAATATGCTAATGGATTGGATTGACTGGTGGAGCTGTCAGTCATATTATAGCTGTACTCTGAACTTGCCATGGTGGTGGGGGTTCAGTTGCATATATTTATCATCATAAGGTTAAACAATAGCTGTTATATGGCATTCAAGCGCTGTAGCGATTGTGTCGACCATATGACCTGAAACAGGACATGCTGCCTTAGTAGTTCTTTCTTAATGGCTTTATCCTGCGGGCTTAAGGACTTCTGCGAATCCCGTAAGCGTGGGCTAGCGATGAGGGTTGCCGTTGTTGCAGAATGTGGATCGCCGTTGTTGCGGGATCCGATGATTCGTCGTTGTTGCGGGAATCACCCGCAGAGATAATTGTTAGATGGGATTGATGAAAAGCCTGTGACCTTAGCCTTGCCGGCATACACCATGAAGTGTGCTTAGGCGCTGGCGTGGTGGTGGTGTAGCGCGGGCATTAAAAGGTTTAAGGCGTCTATGGGTACAGCGACACACCTCTGCAGAGTGTATGAATTGTGATATGTCACTCCCTGTTTCGGGTAGAAACTGCAAACGCGGCAGGAAAGGAACCAATCGAAGGTTCTAATACCTGTGGTGCCTTATATGCAGTAGGTTTTATAATTACTTAATATGAGTTTTTACAACACTGTTTTATGAACATGCTGTTGACAGAAAACACGTGGCCTGGGAGATCTGCTTAACTCCAGTGCAGGTCCAAAGCTCGCCTTCGGATGTTGTTAGCGTGCCAGTTGATTTGATCCTGTAATCAACAAGAAATAGAAGCAAAGCAACCGTGATTAAATCTATAAATGATAGCCGATCAGCTAGATGCCGATGACATATCATTTACCTTTAAGCCGATGTCATCTGTGCATCGGTTGGCAGTCATGAATAAGTCAAGAAGGACCAAATCTACTCGATCGGCTGTAGATATTAACGATATATACTCCTTATATCGATGTATACTTAAATCAAGTGATTGGGATAGATCGGTCATCATGCCGAGACAGTATAAATCACTTAGATCGAAATATATGTCAATAACAAGACTGTATATGTTTATAGCATAGCCGATCAGATAGATCTAGCATGTATCGGCTAATACTCCGATACTACTCTATATCAAGATATTAAAGCAAGTATAATATATTGAGAAAAAGCCTAACATACTTAGATACAGCAATATCTTAACATAAAGGGCAGATTTAACATGAAAATAAGGCACATAGAACAAATGAAGTTAAATCAGATACGATCGGCTGAAACTCCGATGCTATTCTAATCGGCAACTAGAAGGCAGGCTAGAGATCGATATTCTAAGCACGACTTAATAGATCAAACTCAACTGATGCAGCATTAAGTATGAAAAGAAGAACGATATCTAGACAATCAAGCCGCTAGAAGTTTCATAGAATGGTAGATATCTCATATAATCTAGATCAACATCAATATTTAACCTAATCGGCTACCCTATATTAACAGATATTAACCGATGGCAGGTTAGATGATGATATTGCTAGAGATTATGTAAGACATATGATAACTCGACGAATTACGTAAACGGGATTAAAGTATCATAAAGATGGAAGTACTAATCCTAAAAACGCAATCCGTCATAACGAATTTTACCTCTTGTTGAAGATCGAAATCGATGCAGCTCAACCCGAAAGCAAGAACTCGTCGAAACAAAACTAAAGCAAAAAGGGTGGCGATGCGCCGAAATTGTGTTGAACGTGTGTTGTTAAATTACATAGGGCTCGGGGTCTATTTATACCCGAGAATTACAAGATATGCCCATACCGGACACGACTATTATCTCTAACAAACTCTAAGATACCACAAGTCTTTGCGGCAGACTTTTGCCCATATTTATCTATAAGGAATTTACATAAGATATCCTAATTAATAGATACAATTGCCTTCCCAGGACTCTATCCGTGCATGGCAATCATCTTGAAGTACATTAACTTGAACCCGATGTCGTGTACAAGTCATATTGTCGGAATCGGCTGTATCGACTTACTTAGCCCAACTCAGACCTAGCCGATCCTAACCATAGCCGATCTGGACTCCGGCCGATTCCTGCTCTGTTTCCAAACTCGATTTCCGCTTCCGACCTCGCTTTGATCCAATCTTCTTTCCTGACACCGATGTTACCAAATTTGGTTGTTAACACATGCATAAAATTCCTTGTTGGATTATGGTGGCTTTGGACATATATGTATTATTACGCAGGTGGATTATGGGCATATATTTGTTGGATTGCTATAGTTGGACTTGTTGAGTACCATTCGTACTCATCCCTATATATTATTCCTTGTAGTGTTGAGCTAACAATTAGGTGAAGAGAAGATTCTACAAAATTGATCAAGTGTTACATATCTCTACATCAACTTAATGTTGAAGGTGATGAAGATCTAGAAGAGCAACATACTATTAGTGTTATTATTTTGGTAAAAATTAATTTCTTATGGTTTTTAGTTAATGGGTTTCGCTGCAATTGTTTCTGCTATGCTACTATGGTGTGCCCATTTCTTGGTAAGTTGGTTCTTACTAAGGAATGAGCCGTAGACCGGTATTCTACCTCGGAAGTGGAATACGTGGGTCGCTACATATTATCACTACTTACAGTTTGGTGGGCACTCTGTCGTGCTTGGTGACAAAGGATTTTCACTGGTTGCTACCGGGCTCGTGGCTACGGAAGTGCTGCACGTACTCCACCTCGTCCTGCCTGATCTCACAACGCTCATCCGTAAGTCTTCACTGCGCCTGTCGGCAGCCTCCCTGCCGCTTCTCCTACCGCACCACTTGTGCCAACATTCATTTCCGGTAGGCAGTAGAAACACAACAACACCAACAAGGTGAAGGGGAAGAGGTCAGATGCTAGCTCATGAAGCTGATCGATTGTGGTAGAATGGAAAAGGCAAGCAAGCACAAGGGTGGTATATATTTGAGCAACAACATAGCTCTTTTGATGAACTGCTTCGTGATTGTGTGAAGGTAACTGTGTGCTTGGTTTGTCTTGAAGCCTCGACGATAGACACTACAAGGTCATGAGCTTAATCATGGTGATGTACTTAACTGAGGCGGTGGAGGAAGAAACCTAGCCGGTTGGGTCGATTCAAGCGTGCAAGGCATGTAATTAACCAAATGTGTCTTGTACGCTTTTGTTATCTAAAGTAACATATATTTGACCAAACTGTTGGCTATCTCATGCCATCCTAGGTTGTTTATCGTAATCATCTTGATATTTTTTCCTGAGATGCTACCGTATATTTTGTTTGTTTGGTAGAAATTAGTTCCCCTGATTTTTTTTTTTGCCTCTAACATGGTAAAAAGCAAACTTAGAAGTAGTTATTTTATTTTTAAGGGTTGCAAAGATTGCATCATATATGCAAATCTAGCACATGCTTGTACTTTTTTTTAGTGCCAACTATATTGTTCATGCCGTGAGACATGGAACAATAGGAGTCTCTTACATTTTTTTCCTTAATACGCTCCGACCCTCTCCAGTCTTCACCTTGTATAAAGTGGGAAGGGCTCTAGAATGCACTGCACATGGATAAATGCTACTTTCAAACTTGAATCCTGGGTGCAAAGGCAGCCGGTGCAGGCTACGTTCGAAACTGAACAATTGCTTGTTCACATGCTACATGACATGATCGAATCGTTTCTCTTCCTCTGAAAAGGTAAAAATCAATATATTTGGACATTTGAAACATGTGCCCTCATAGAAAAAGGTTGTGGCACATCGTTTTTCTTTTGTACCTATGAGTTAACCCATGTCATGAGCAAACTTAATACTTGACCATTCACATTTTTGTCATGCACAACTGGACAAGAAAAGGAGTAGAAATAATAAAAAGAAAAGGATCGGTGCTTACAATTGAGTGTGATACATACTTAATGAGTTCAATGAGTTCAAGATACGTAAGGTCACACATTTTGAGCAAGTTCTAGATGTAGAAGGCCAACTCAAATCAGACCAGCATACGTAAGGTCCTGTATTTTCATGGAGGACATTCAAACTAATAAACAACTAGTAGAAGATGATGTTGAATCGACAAATCAATTCTTGCAGCCAAACCTAACACGAAAACATGATAAGGATATGTTCATTTGGTTAACAACATTAGGCAAATACAACCACTTGATAGGCCAAATGGGGAACAATAGCTCTTGCACAATCTGCCAGGTAGTGCATACACAAAGGCATTCTCCTAATGTCCAATAGGCAAGCATGCACATGAAAATGAAAAGAAATAAAATTTCGTGAGCTACCAACTCAGATAGTGTATACGTTAGACAGTCATTAAGTGTCACAATACTCATATTTTTTCGGGGCATGCAACACTACATATCACTTGATGTTTACATTCACAGTTAGTATGGAAGCTTTAGTTATGCTGCCACACATTTTGATAAAAAAAGAATTGAAAGTTAGAAGAACAATCTTTGTGAAATGGAGGGAGTAGTTTGTGTCCATCGAAGAAAAAAGGGTTGGACAAGCCATAGGTTTAGTGACCAACAAAGGTGAGATCATTAATTTTTCATCTAGGAGGGAACCATCTGAGGATGTTACTAGCGCCTAGATGATACATTAAAACTAGAACACAGTGTTGGTTTCAAGTTGTTTTGTTTACTTCAAATTAAGACCACCATCCATCTATACAATTCGACTAGGAGAACATGCGAGCTATGTATTTTTTAAAAACTAAACTACTATGACAGTTTTGACTGGGTCATAAAAAAAATTTCATGTGAAAATATGTAGGATGATCGAGATGACATGGACATCAGTCCTCGTAGCCCAATTTGACTTTGTATGGCCCTCCTATGGAGACTAAAGTTTCATGACATTAGGCTAGTAGGATTCTTCATATTTTGCTTGCACACATCCTTCCTGCTTCCACCCCCATATTTGGTTTGTTGATTTCATTGACAACTTAACTATGTCCTCTATTGTACTTCTCTATTTATCCCAAGTGTTGTCAAGAGAAACCAGGCAAAGATTCAATAATTAAGACAATGTTTAATGAGGTAAGTGTTTATCATGAATACAAAGAAGCTATGGAAGAGGACACTATGATGAGCATACATCCACGGGAACATTATTTTCATAGCTAAGAAGAAAACATATTGATTAATGCACAAGAAATCTGAATACAATCCATCAAAGTAACGTTGTTTCATTTCAGTTCGACATTTTTTTGCACGAGCGAAGTAACAAAGTTGCACATATGTTTGTAGTAAACTGAAGTGAGTGCCTTAATTGCTCTAAATTCTATAGAACAAGCTTTAGTATGCAATGTCGATCAAGAAGCTCTGATGTTTTCTGAGAGTTTCAATAAGGTCCACCAATTTTATATATGGATTATTCTGATCATCAATCAACCAAGAAAGCAGAGTGAGATCAAGGATTGGCAAGGCGCTCCTCTGACACATCAGCAAGGGTCATAAGGTTGCACCTGAGAACGTTCTCGATGAAATAGCATATGTCGTCTTTGGTGTTCCCATCTGGAATATCCACTACAAATGATTCGACCACCAATGTTCCAAGTTGGCCATCGATGACCTCAGAGTGGATGGTTAGGATGGATGAGTAATTCTATTATAAAGACAAAAATTATATATTATCAGTTTCACAACAACTAAAGATCTTTCATAAAAGGATAAAATCATTATGTTCCCCAAAACATGGCATGGTTCCTTATTTGCCTCTCATTCTCTCAATGAAAAGTCAGTCTAGAGCCAACATATTAGTGATACATCCTAAACAAACAATAAATCTCGCAAATTTTTAGATGCAAATAAGGATGTGGTGCCAAGCCGCTACTTATGGAATTGTATTATTTCTTCATTCTCTATAGTTAGGTATACATGTTGTTCCTTTAGCTTAAAAATATCTATATTGTGTATCATGAATTCATTTCATAAAAGACAAAGCAAAAGAAAACCTTAGACATATTATCAAGATTAAATTTTTACCTTCAACATATGATCGCCCCCAATAAACTTGACTTTGAGGATATGTTCGTTATCATCAAGCAACTCTAACCTCTCAGTGCTCCTTGTGGCTGGAAGCCCGCTTTGAACATTGACCTCCCTAACACATCCGGTCACAATAATGTTTTCTCGCATTACGCACTTTCTCACAAAAGGTTTGAAAAGTTGTGGCTGATCAAACCTCCTCACTAGTGACCAAACCTGAATAAATATAAAGAGACCAAACAATATTAAATTCCAATATGACTATAGAACCTTTGTTTCATGAGTGCCTTTCACACAAAGCACACAACATTTTCGTTTGAGTGATTTTCACACAAATTGTGAAGTCCAAAATGTGTGTGTGCGCATGCGTGTGTGTGTTCGTGTGTTGGGGCATGGTGGTGGGGTATTGAAATAAATCAGTACATAATATGCCATCATTCCCAAAGTATAGGTAATTCTTGCGTTTCAGATTTATCCCAAAATAGAAGAAACTCTTGAGTACCACATCCTCTCAACCACTCGTTTAATTTGACCCAATCTTACACACAACAACCCTTCGACTCCCACAGCCACCATTTGTTTTCATCTTTAATCCTTTTAAGAAGTCCATACATCCTTATATTTTTTTGGCGAAGAGAGTACACTCAAAAAAGATATTGATTAATTAACATCAATGTTAAGAATTAATCTAGGTCAAAAAAAAAGTTAAGAATTAATCCTTGGTCATACTTCGTGCAATTCTTGAAAAAAATTATTTACTGGCATCAATTCAAATTAATATATCTAATAAAGCATTGATATGTTTATTGACACAATACAAAGCCATATATAGCACATATCATCTAGAAAACAAGCAGTTAAGAACCTAATGATTCCAAGAATCATGATCAATATATAGTAAAATTATCACACACACACACACACACACAAAAACCAGATAATGTTAGTTATTATCTCTGCTTACGGTTTGGAGGGGCGCCTTGATATGCTTGGCGACGAACGAGGTGCACTGGTTGCTGCTGGGCTCGTGGCGGTGGAACTGCCGGATATACTCCATCTCTTCCTCCCGGAGCTCACACCGCTTGTCCGCTAGTCTGCACTGCACCCGTCGGTGGCTCACCATTGGCAACTTCCCTGCCGCTGCTCCTCCCGCACCACCAGCGCCGTTCATCTCCGGTACACAGTAGCAGCAGCACCAATGATTTGGAGGAAGAGAGTGAGGCTGACTACTCTTGAATCCGAACAATTGATGGGATGGAATAAACCGCCAAGCACAAGGGTGGTATATATATAGCCAGCAACATAACCCTTTCGGCAATCTGCTTTGTGATTATGTGAAGCAAACTGTGTGCTTGGCTTGTCTCCTTTCATTGGAGGTAGCCGCCGAATGGAAGGTGAGCATGAGCTCGATCATGGCAATGTGCTTACGTGAAGCGATGGAGGAAAGCAAACCAGCGGGCTGACTAGGTTCATGCAATAGTGTGTAAGGCATGCAATGAACCAAACGTGTTTGCGTGTATCCTTGATTATGCGGAAACCGAAGATGCCTCGCACTCTTTCTGAAATAATATTTAATTGATAAAACCATTGGCGAGGTCTCATGCTATACGAAGCTGTTTTATTGTAGTCATATTGATCTATTTCTGTGATGTTACTGTATCTTTAGCTTGTCTGGTCCAAAAAGCTAAAAATGGTAAAAGTGATATTATTGACACTATTTCGGATGCAAGAATTTCATTTGATTGCAATATGAGCCACCTATGATTAAATAAGTTCATGCAAGTAGTGCCCATTGTCTTTTCAGTAAACATTTCTTAAAAAGAAAATACCGATGAAATTATTATGTTCCTAACCAGTTCTTAGTAGCTTTCTAGAGCATAAAAAAGTTAAAAAAATAAGCCCAAAACCATTTGAATTGTCCTAGAGCCTTATTAGTTATAGCCTACAATTGTACATGGCTATTAAGAAAGTAGGTGAAATTGGCTCTATCATGGTGAAAAAGCAATCTTAGAAATAATCCTTTTATTTTAACTATTTGCAAAGATTGTATATATGTGAATCGGAATTATATCCTCCATTGCATAGTAATATGAGCGTGCGACATTCTTTACATCCAACCCATCTGTTCTAAATCAACCACCAAGGATTGATGGACCTATGACTAATTAAACTAATCACCAAATTATTAAGTTAAATATAAATAAACCCATAATTAATGGGATGAAAGTAGGAAGCCATTTCTCTTTACTCATTTGTTGATGCCACCAACTGCTTACTTGTACTTTTTAGCACTAGGGGCATTGCTCATGTCCTTAAGGCACAATCCAGAAGAGGTAACTAAGATTTTTAGACCACGGCATAGGCCAGCAAATCTGAAGCCATGCATTAAAGTAGCATGTTGCATTTTTCTTGTTTGCCTTCTCGTATTCATCTTGTATAAAGTGGTATAAAGTGCAAAGAGTTGTAGCGTGCACTGCACAAGGACAAAAAGACTTCACTTCAAACTTGATGCGAATAGGAAACTTGGTGCGTGTATATGCAAATCTACTGCATGCTTATACTCTTTTTAGTGACAAGTACATTGTTCATGCCGTGAGACATGTAACAAAAAGAACCTCTTACATTTTTTTTCTTAATACGCTCCAGCCCTCTCCTGTCTTAACCTTGTGTAAAGTGGGAAGGGCTCTAGTGTGCACTGTACAAGGATAAACACTACTTCAGTTCAAACTTGAATCCTGGGAGCGCAAGTAGCAAGCGCAGGCTACATACAAAACTAAACAATTGCTTATTCAGATTCTACATGACATTATCAAATCATTTATCTTTCAGTGAAAAGGTAAAGATCATTAGGGACTTCATATTTGGATGTTTGTAACATGTACCCTCATATACAAAGGCAGTGGAACATTGATTTCCTTTCGTAGATATGAATTAACCCATGTTATGAGCACACTTAATACTTGACCCTTCACATTTGTGTAATGAATGACTGACAAACAAAAGTTGTATAAACAACGAAAAGAAAAAGAATTTGTCCTTAGAATTGAACATAATGCATACTTGATGAGTTAGTCCAGCATTTTGGATACATTGTAGATATAGAAGGCCAAGTCAGATCAAACTAGACTTTAGTTTCAACGAAGGCATTAAAACTAACAATATCAATTAATTAATAGAAGATGTTGAACAAACAAACCCATGCATGCGGACAAACCTAACATGAAACATGGCAAAACTACAATTATACCTATTCTTGATTACTTGAGTATATATTCATGGCTCGTGCATGTGCTTAAGAGGGATGTGCGCTTGTGATAGTTGGGACAAGTATATAGATGTGTTCTCAAATCTGGCATTGACTAGACCTGGTACATATGGATTAATAAATATTACGCCTGATACGTATTAGTAGCGGGCATGATACTTATCATTACCAGATATCGGGCTTGATACCAACTGGTATCAGACCTAATACCTATTAGTACCATGATATCTATTAGTTCCGAACCTGATACCTATCAGTACCGTACTGTTGATGCAAAAAACACACACTGGCCTGGGAGATCTGCTTAGCTCCAGTGCAGGTCCAAAGGTTGATGAGATGCGGGCGTGCCAGTCAGTTTGATCCTGCAACTGACAAGATATGTAAACAGTAGATCAAACAGCCGATCGGCTGACAAGCTGATGGAGTAGTTCTAGCCGATAGCCGATAATAGCCGATGCCGATACCAGCCGATAGCGATAGGGTTTAAGCAATCGGCTATATGTCCAATATAGATAATGATATAAAGGCGTTCGGCTGATACTGATAAATAACAATGATATAGCAATATAATACAGTATAAACCAATCGGCAAATAATGATATGATAAATAAGCATTGATCCGAAGGGTAAAGCATATATCGGCTGGAGGTCCAACGTCATAAAATCCACAAGATTAGATAGATCAATGATACCTTTGTTGCGATCGGCTAAATCCAATTTATATGTATATACAATCCTTACAAGCCGATGCAACGTCTAGATAACTTATCGGCTAGCACCCCGATAAAACATTAACATGAACCTATCGACTTAACAAGATTTATATTATCAACAAAAATCTAGTAGGTCGAACCTAACCGATGCAGCACGAGATTGTATATGATAATCTAATACTCGATGAGCCGATAGATCTGTCTAATGTGATGGATATAACAAACCTATTTAGAACAACATTATGATTGTAGAGATATATCGGCTAAGACAGGAGATCAGACCTAACCGAGACAGTCCCACCTAAACCGATGCATCTCTAAACACAATGTAATTAGAGATAGAATTGAGATATCAGGTAGGCAAATATATCAACCAAACCAGAGCGATCCAAGAGATCGAAGCGATACAGCCTTGAACAACACCGATGTAGCCGACAGATTCACCAGGGCCGACGGAACGTAGGACTTACCCCTTTGTTGGAGATCGAAAGCCGATGCAGCCCCGCGTCAGGTGCCAAATTCCGCCGGTTGATAAGTAAAAACCTCAGGAAAGAGGGTGGTGATGCGCCAAGAGTAGTTGCATTGATCGAGATTGATAGATTACATAGACCCCGGGTGTACATATTTATACCCACGGGTTGATACAAGTCCTTGTCGGACAAGAAAGAAACTATCCTAAAGATAAAAGGAAAACATAAAGTCCTTTTTGACACTAAACACACTTTCCTAAAGATAAAAGGAAACTAACAAACTATTCCTAATTAATAGATAAACTGCCATGCCACATCCTTCTTGAACCCAGACTCTTCTGGATAAATTCCCTTTAGTTGATCCAACTCCATCAAGAACACAGTTGCTGGCGATTTGACGACTCCCATCGGCTGATTCCATAACTCTGAAGCCGATGCTGACTCTAAGCCGATGATGACTTTGGGCTTACCAAATTTCGTCATTAACACAGATGTGATACCTATTAGTACTGGGCCAAATATTTAGGGTTAATTTGATTCGTGCCATAGCAAATTTGCTCAATAGAAAAAATACCATTACTATTCGTGATAACGCATACGTGCTATTGTAATTTTGTATTGGAACCATACCATTACCGTCAGATTCTGTCATCTTCTTACAAAAACCCATTCTTTCCTCTTTCTTCATCCCCTCTATTGTTCATCTTCCTCTCCTCTCTCTCTTGGATCTAGCGACCAGGGCCATGGCTTACAGCTCGAAGAAGCAGATGGCAACAGTAGTGGAAGGGTCGGCGAGGCAACGGTGCACTGTGAGGTGGCAGTAGTGGGTGGATGGGAGCCGGACTTGTATTCTGACCATCCATCCCCACCCAAGGAATCAACTTTGATTTGGTGGTAGTGGAACACGAGTGACGCAACAATGGCTGTGGCAGCGGAGGATGCTTCTCGTGCTGCCTCGGCGGCAGAGACGGGGAAGACGGATGGGGAAAGCGAGGACTTGGGAGCAGCACACAGGCAGGGCATTGCTGTTGATATTTCTTACCAATGATTACTAGGAATATAATCCCAACAATGGTGCCAAAAATATTAGACGGTATTCTTATGGTTTACATATATAAATCTGCAAGCGCACGGATATACCGCTATAGGCTGTAGCATTTCACCTAGAAGTATTTCCAAGGTATCGTATTTATTTATTCCCAAGGAAAGATATGGTAAGAGAGTACTATTCTATAAATTCATATCACACTTATGTAAACCAAAGTCTTATGCGGGGGTTAATCAATTCAGGGTAAGGATAGGTTGACATACAGAAGGAACAATTTAGAATACTCTTACTGAATAATAAGTCTAGGCTAAGTGGAGAAGAATAAAGAAAAATATCATTTCTATACTTCTAGTATATAGTCATTTTAGTATACACTTGCTAATATACAACTACGTAGCTAATACCCCATAACTATACCCTCTTGGTATCGAGAAACCACTTCTGATTACCGAATTCCTTACGACAATCCGTCATGGCCATCCAACCGGTTATAGATACGGAGGAGTACCCGCACCAGGAACATTTCTTAGTCCAATATACGCACGTGGAGGAATACACGAACTGAGCTGTCACAATCAGTGGCCTACCTCTACAGATCCGTGGCATATATCACCATTTAATGATATATAATAATCTAAGCACTGCGCTTACATAGCTAAGTATTACTCTACATCACTGTAGATGGCATAGAGCAATCATATAAATGAACAATAAGCCAATATCATTGCAGATCTCTGGTAAGCTAACCACATAATTAATACGAGACAAGTATAA